TATAACTTAAAATGCTACTCGAAAAGCGGACCTCTACCATAACTCTCACAGAACTACCGATATCCTACAGAAGAGTTCCACTTGCATTAAAACTCGAACACGGTTTACTTGCATTAATAACAGAATTCGTAGCGCAACTTGCACGTTCCCTGTAACTCATAGCTTTCAGTTTCAACCGTGAATAATTTGCCATAACCTTTCCATTTTAATTAATATATGTACGGAAATGCATGAGCAGTACGATGTATCTGCAATAATGTGACACCACTATTCGCAAAATACTTATTTTACGCTTACACGCTCCTAAAAGCTTTCTTACAGGTAGAGTACGAAAAGTATGAAAGAAATGAAAAGTACACCAACCACATACTTCGAAGTGTTCCTATTGTGACAAAATTTACCATGTGGCGTCATGTTTAAGCAGCGTGGCGAGGCGCGCCGTAGCATGGAGTTTGGCTTGAACCGATAGTTCGTATTTTTCGCTGTATTGAATCGTCAGGAATTACCGGACTAGCTTCTTTGCACCGAGCGCGAAGCGCGAGGTGCTGCAGTAAGTCTTCGTCAAGAGCATAAAATTTGCCTGACACCACGAAGAGCGTACGTCACGCTTTTCCAATTCCACAACCCCAATACCATTTCCCAGTGGTATTGGCGCTCGCGCTCGTCCAGTAATGTATTTCGCAACCACCGCTAGTACAAAACAAACGGTCGTTACAACATTCGTCCACAAAACTGTACATAAAAGCATGTAGTAAGCTCGCTGGAATAGTCACGAATGCCACTAAAGTGGGTCAGCGATTAGATCCACAGTGATGCACGAGCAATATTAATTTCAATTTGGATGTGGGTCTACTGCAGGGTATTTGATTTGGCTAAAAACTTACAGCATCCGCTGGAGATCCACAGCCAAGTAAATGGACATGGTTTTCCTGACGTGCCACTGGTAGGTCTAATGATCTATAATCAATATCTACTGGAAAGGAATTGTGTTGTTGTTTATGCTCGAAATAGTATACACTTTGTCACCATCTTCAAAAATGGCGTTCGACTTACCCATTATCTTTAATTACGCCACGAAAACAGCGCTGTCCAGGTACAGTACTGGGACACCCACTGCCGGTAAAAAGCAAATTAAACGTCGTTCTGCTGGGCAGGAAAAGCGTTCCGAAACCTATTGAGCTAGACGATTTATCACAAGAGAAGAATGAAGGGACTGACAATCATGGAATAGACGAGGAAGTACTGGACGGGTTAGCTGCAACGGCCGACCGCCATCCAAACACCATATCAAGCAGCATTCAATATAGTCTGTTTGCATTGTCTCTCAACAGCAAACAGAGCGCGTTAAGTAAACCAGCTTACACAATCCGGTTAATTCGTATGCATGGAAGCTCAACCGGGAGAAGCTTTCCTCATGCTCTGATACATCGCGTTACGTGGCAACCTGCAGTGTCATGGCTGTCAAAGTTGCCCCTCTACGCTTTCCTGATCAAGCGAGATTTCCGGGTTCCCGTCACAGTGCTGTCACTCACTGCGAATACCGAAACTTAGAATGATACTCCCACACCAGCTGCAAGCATGATTGTACCAAATAGTTTGCAATAGTCGAAGCGTTATGACCTATTTGACGGCACTGGCACTTTCACTTCCGCTGGCCAGTGACCACTGAAAGCGAGAACCGGTACTGTCTACGTTCTTTGTATTTGTTTTCTTACGGACAAATTACGGAAAATGTCCTAATTTCTGCAAAAACAGACAGAGAGACCACGGGAAAGCGGCGATCGCCGCTCTCTATGCCCCTTCTGTTTTTATTTGTGATACTACCTGAAAAAGGAAGAGTCCAGTCCCGGGAGAACAGATTCGCGGGCGATAATAACCTAAATGCCAAATGACATAGCAATAGGAACGCAGTACTGAACAGGATTCCAAGCTTGTGCACTTGCCCATTCGTCAAAACTATTACTGTAAAAAGTTTGATTTGGCCGCTCCCTACTAAAACAGCCTTACAGTCAAGAATTTGTTCATACAGCAAAACGGTAACAGTTTTCTGCTAAAAATCAATGGTCTCCGTTATTCCCCAGTAAACAGAGCAGCTGAAGGAAACCTGAACCTGCTCAGTGGCATGTTTATACAGCGACTGAGTGCTTGCAACATCCGCCGGTAAGACTCCTGAGTATTCAAGTGCTCAAAGTAAATAATACACCATGAAAAATAGCAAATTCAGTACGGCTAACGGCGATACTGGACGCTGCAAATATTATCTCACCGCTTCAACGAATTGTATACGAAGTATCAAATACCTTTATGGCGTGTGCCGTAGCATGAATACACACTGGCAAAGTTCACGGCAAACATAGTCAACCTATAGAGTCAATAATAAGAGTAAACGCATCTCCTCACAACATATTTATCTGCATTAGCTGGTGCTTCCAGTTCCAGCCACCTGCCGGCTCATTCTACATATACCATATTGCGTTTTATTGTAATTTTGTCATGACTACATTGGTGTACCGTGTACGAACCCAGCTAACCGTTAGAAGTAATGGTGATAAAGATATCTAGATGGATGTACATGGTTTTGGTTCGTATCGGTCACTCTCGAGTGTCGACCTTTTTTAGTTCTCAGGCCGTGCTTGTATACTTATTTGCTAAACATTTTTAATTCCTCACTTTGTTGAGTCTACGGCCTTTGCAAATACACCGCGGGTGTGTTTAACAATCCCCGAGAAATACTGTTCCCAGTTTGCTTTTACTTCTGCTTTTAAAGTAGCGCTTCCATTATTTTTTATAACGGAAGGGCTATTTTAAAAGCTAAATTACTAGCTACGCACCTGAAGCTTTTACCACTGAGTTCAGTGCAAAGACAAAAAGACACCGGCCGCAGATTTGAGCGCGCACTAACGCTCCCGGAAAGCATATTTACTACCAAGGGCACGGGCATGCTGCGGAGTAATCATGGCGCTGGCTGGCCGGTCGTTTCACCGGTATCGAATGCGTCGCATTCGATACAGGTTAAAAGGCCGGCAGTCGGTGCCTGATGTCGTTTGATTGATTTGTCCAGTCTGAAGAGCCCATGCAGTGATATGACGAACTGTGCTGTTACGCTGTGCCATTATGAAAACAAATTCCAACGTTCTGATCATTTTCTTAGTATCTTCCTTTTGCTGCATGATTATATAATTTATTCCAGTACGTATGCCGCCTGCGTTGTTGTCGCCATAGTTTTTTGTTGGGGCGGTTGGTCCCGTAACGGGAATGATGGAAAATATTCACGAAAGTTCCTAAAAAAATTCGGCGGATGGAGAAATCATTTTCTTTATAAGTTATAAAGGAAAATTTCTTCTCTGTCCGTCGTATTTTTAACAATAAAATCCGTAAAGAATTTTCAGTTTATATGGTGAAGAAAGGCGAGGAAAAATGGTGAAGAAACATAAAGAAATTCAAAGAAACCTCTCCGAGGATCATGAGCACTCGTTTTATGATAACGTTTAGTCAGCTCGTGGCTCTCCCTCTTTATCTACTGTAATTGAATATATGCCGTGTACCCCGCCATCTTTGTTTTTCTCCACCTCTCCGGAAATAAGATCCATTGATCCATCGGGTCTAGTGCGTATTTCTCGCGTCCGTGATAACGTGCTGTATCAGCGCCTTTGCTGACTATAGTCTTTTTATTTACGAAGTAACAAAGCGGTCCTGCATCCACAGAGCCGACCGAAGGCCCGAATCATACGGGCTGACTGCCGAATCATACGTGTAGGTTCGAATGCGAGACCCGCCTTTCGTACTCAATAGATAACAGTCATAACATTCACTCATGAAAATGCTGATAACGCATTAATTAATATGTAACGCAATTAACAATACAATAATAATACGATGGAAATAAAAAAAGGGTTATTGCTGTTACTGGCGTTACGTCAACGATAATGTCAACGTCAGCTTTACGTCAACGCCATCGATAAGCAGACGGCGTCCCTTGTTCAGCAAGCTGTCATTGGTCTGTTGAACAATTGACGCTACAGTGAAACTTCTTTACAACATACACCCTCCGTTCCAGGCTTTCTGAATGTTACAGAAGGGTGGTCTGAATGTTGGTTTTGCTGCCCTTTTGTATGCTTGGAGTTGGAAGATCCGTACTAAACAGATTAAAAACAGAAGCCGGAACATTTCTTTTAGAGACACCGAAATGGTTTTTTTCCTCAGCATAGCCAACCGTATGTTACGCAGGGGTTGAATAAGCTGGTAAAACTGGTGCCGGTTCCATAAAAGGTGTAAAGGGGTGGATGTTATACGGAGAATTGCCCCTGTGTTAAAGTCTACGGGACGGTTTGGTTCCCAGCCTCGTGCATGCAATAAAGGGGTGAATGTTATAGGAAGGTGAATATTAAGAGGAGTTTCACTGTATTTGCAATGTATCGTTGAACGACACAGAGAAGAACTCGCCGTCAGTTCTTTATGAGTATCAAGTTGACAACGGTACCAGGTTCTCTGATTTCACTTCATTTCAGGATGGAATTTCGAATGGTTCTTATTCGCGTGGCCGTTTTGTGCATAAGAGGTGGGTATCGCAATCTGTATATGTAAGTGAATGCACCGGCTTGTGCAAGTTGTGCACGACAGTAATGTAATGTCGTCGTGCTGCATTACCGCTGCGCTGTTCACTGTGCTGAATGTTTATTCCAGCTGATTTCAGTGTTGCAAAGCAGACGCTACACGCACCCATTTTTTTATGGAAGCCATACACTGCAGTACTACTTTTCATTGTTACTTTTCATCAGCAGTGTGTTGCCATCAAAGTGATGAGTTCAGCGCCCAGTTGACATGGTGCCTACTCTACTGGCGGTGTCCCTGTTGCTCGTTGCAATGGCGTTGTTGCAGCCTTGTCATATTATTACGAATTGTTGAGGATTTGCCCGGACGAGGCTTTGCACAATGATCATACGCGGGTAGGTTTAGTAGATCAAAGAAAGTTAACACTTCGCAGAAAATCTTATTATTATTATTATTATTATTATTATCGTACTACAGTAGCCAAACTCCATTACGGAGACTTATTACCCTCAGGTGAAAACCGTTGGGCAAACCAGGCTATTGGAAAATTTTTTTGTTTATTTTGAAAATTTTATACTTTTTTTGGTTTGATTTTATGAGATAAAAGTTACCCACCTAGGAATCGAACCCAGGACATACAATCTTAAAGCCAGACGTACTACCACCAGGCTATAGGCAATTAACATTAAATGTATGATTATTATTATCGTACTACAGTAGCCAAACTCCATTACGGAGACTGCTGACCCGCAAACTTATTAATATACACTCAGAGCCATATGCATCCAAATACACGAACAGGTATGCCAGTAGTCAACAGCGAGAGCATCGCCAGCTGAATAACAGTCCCACGGAAGGCTACGCGCCAAATGCTTCCCCTGCTCTCGGTTTGGGTGGCGACAATCCGCGGGGTGTAGAAGGGGCGGAGACTCGCGGTGTGGTCGATGAGAGGTACGGCGGTATCGTCGTACCAGCCCCATTTTTTCTCCTCATACACCCGGTTGGCCAGAAATGGCAGCAGACGACGCGCGTCGGCGTACACGGCCGGACGGACCGGTGATGCGCATCCACTACGAGCACAATTAGAAAATCACTGTATACTGATTCGCCTGTCGCTCCGAAAATTTTTATTCGTCCATAATAAAGCACTCAGAAAACACATTCCCGCTAACCAAACGTACAACTTATAGTGGCAACGGTTTCTAGGTAATACGTTATTTGTTAAGCTTCCTTGGACTATGGTTGCCGTGGGACACGAATTCACTAAATTTGGTACGAGTGTCCAACCGCCCAAGGTGGTTCTATGCGGTGTCCACGTCCACGTTTACGGTTCGCGAAGTTACGCGATGAATTCACTGTAGCAAAGCCGTCTTCGCTTAAGACGGCTTTGAATTAGAGACGCGCCCTACATTGTTCCTACCGGCCGAAGGAGACGAGTCCAGCCAACTGGAATTGGTTGGGTGTCCGGCTGGTACAGGCCAGTGGCCCACCGCTGTCACCTTGACACCTGCCACCAAAACAGCAGCATTTATTACCAATCAATAAGAAAATCGTTAGCGGACGACGTACACGTCCCGGTCCTTCTCATGTGTGCACAGCATTTCCGGGGATAATTTGGCGAATTTCCGGTAGCATTCCGTGCTGTCGATGACGGTCAGATTGACCACCATCAAGTTGTCGGCCAGGATGATGGGCGGTGTGGGCTCGTCGCCTGTGGTCTGCTGGATGGAGCCGCAGCCGGTGGCCGTGCATATCTGCTGCGGCTGCGGACCGGTGAAGGGCCGCGGCAGACAGATGGTCTGGATGGTCGGCGACAACTCCACCGTCTGCAATATGCCAACTGTTATTTCACTGTTTCTTAGCATCAGAAATACTTTCGTTCTATGCTTTTGCAAAAGAAGCCCTCCAACTGGATTCAAACTCAATTATGCATCGGAACAGGTAACGGACAATCCGATCGATCAGAACAGGACATTAAACTGTGAACTGATTAGACAGCATCTGCTTAAGTACAGCGCATATTAAAAATTTCCCTCCAAATAGTCGCTGCTAATGGCATACAGTACCGGTTGATAGACTGACCTCATTTAGTTTCAGGAGACAGTAGTCGAAACTGACTCCCCACCGATACTGGGCGTACGTGCCCGGCACCATGACCTTATCCACCGCCACCGTCAGCCCATCGTTGGGATCTTTGCAACTGTGGAAACCCAGTCGGGCCGATAGCTCGCTGGGAAGCAGGGTTCTCCGCTCCCTGTGAACCGGCAGCCAAATAAGTAATAAGCAATAACACCTGATCCGGCTTAATAAGCGTAATACTGTACTGTGGCGTTTTGCCGGTAACACAGCAGTGTCCAGCTGTTGCAATCCAGCCGGGTGCAATCTACCCAATAAACATACTGTAAGAAGCATATTCATTGAAACTCTTCTATAACATTGGCTCACCAGGGATCCACCGCACACGCCATTGCTTGGGATTGCTTTCACAAATGCCTGCCAGGGCCACGCGTTCTTAACCGCCTATTACACACGATCTACTTCACAATCTACCGCAAAACTAAAGCAGTAATTCTATGTGGTCTGAATGCTGCAGTATATTGCAGAAAATGATGAATCGGCCAATACTGTACCTCGGTTCCTCCGACGATGCGGGTCTGCTCACGTGCCTGCGTATTGGGAATGCCGCATTTCAGACTACAGATCTCATCTTCCCCTTTCGGGCAATCCGGACGCCCTGTAAAAGTAAACATTTTATTGCACGGTAACTTGAGGATCACGCTATCCCACTGTTTTGTTAGAAAAGCTAAATTCCACAGCACATCCCAGTTTTTATTTGAATGAGATTTGTTACTGTTTGTTACGCTGGCAAAGTTCTTTATACTCGTATAAGCTGCATATTAAAACAAGGAAAATGTCGTTACCGTCACAAATGTAATCTGGCTGCACGCACTTAGTTTTGTCACTGGGACAGGTCAGAGCGTCCTCTCCACAGCGTTGGCTCACTGCAAAAGACATTAGTTTATCAACTTCTGTAATACAATTGTATATCTCTGTCTCTGTACCTGCACAATATTACGACTTTCCACAATAAACCGATCATTTTCGCTAGGTAGTAAGAATTTTAAGCAGTGTTGATCACACACGCGTATTCCGATTTTCAGGGGGTCCAAAATTTTAAAAAATAATTGGACTACATAGTCCTCACTTTGCATTGCACATTTACACTTAAAAGTGCTAACCGCAAATAATAATCTCCCACAGAAAACATTAAACTCTGTATCTATGTAGATACTATGGAGTATGGACTAATCTCCGGTCGGCTGAAAAACGCACGTTACTGGAACTGCGATCAGCAGTTCCTTTTGTTCAACGGAGTTACGGAGCCTCCTGATCTGATGAGTTAATTTTAAGTTCTAAAACGAGCTCAGACTTACGCGTAACGTACCTTGCACGTTCAGCTGGAAACCGGAGAAATTCCTGGCACTATCCGACACGAACAGCATCATCTGTAGTAACACAGATTGAATTTTTAATGTATTTTCTGGCTAGAACAACGCTAAATACACCACAGTATGCAGTAAATAGCGCATGACGGCGCGCGACTGCTTACACTTACCACGGAATCACTGTACGAATAAAATGGAAAAGCGTCTCCGTTTTCACACGTGATCAGTTTGGGGTAGTAGGAATCTGCGATAATAATGCCGTGTTGCCGATATTTCGTGTCGTGTCATTCACATTGTCAACAAGAAAATTGAAACTAAAGGAAATGTCAATACAACAGGATAATAATTTGAATTATTATTTAAGATTAATTTTCGGAATAATTCGCTGCAGCAGACGTGCAGTAACACTACTTGCATCGTAAATCCCAGATAGCCAGATAATCCACCAGACAAGTCCCGTTTTCCAGTTTGGGTTGCAACGAAAAGGCTTTCTTAGTAATCTGTAAGTGAACCGTCAATCAAGCACGTTCTTGTTATTTTCTCCATCTTGGAGCCAATATTATTCAGCATCAACGCTAAAATCAATTAATCCCTATGTATTCCTGAATTACTTGAATCGGCCGACCGTTGGCTTTAATCCAGTAGGCCACCCGCGTATCATCGGGATAATTGTCGGGATAATTCGGTGATGAGATGAGGATTTGATCGGAATTGCTGGCATTGGACGGCAGTTCGTAAATGTTCACATCCAGAACCTCCGCCGGAACGGTCAAGTTGACCGGAATGTAGACGCGGCAATGACCGATGTTACTCAGCCAGAGAAAAGTCCAGATATCGATAACGTTTACTCTTGGAATACGTGATAAGTACATGGTAGCTCTACAATGCGGATTTCCCAATGGAAACCGTTCGCTGTTGTTAGTTCGCGATTATGAACGGCATGATCGTGATGAACATATGGCAGATCAACTTGTATTCGTGTCTTTTTACGTATATTTCCATGGATACCGTCGATCGTCGTCATGTCGGCGCCGACGTACACTCTACGCTTACTGTAAATAGGTTCATAATAATTATAATACTGATTTGATGTTATTAAATACTTAATCTTTTAGCAGCTGTCGGTACAACAAAGTACATGGTTATGTAGGTTACAGTAGGTACATTGAAAAATCATGGTGTCGTCGTGATGATGACGCGTATAAAGGAAAAGGGTTGGAACGTTATGTGGTGGTGGGGTGCTAAAATGTCGAGTACGTGAACAACTACTTATTGAACATTTTCAAACCAACATAAATGAAAACAACTGACAATTACGATGATTTTACGACAATCGCAAACTTAGCAAACAAAAAGACTGACAAGAACTGACTACTTAATTTTAACATGCATAATTACTACCGTAGGGTAATTAGCAATTCCTTACAAGTTAGACGTACGGGAAATTTAATTATAGGTATGTAGTATATATGTAGTGGTATCAATTGATCTACATATACACGCTTTGGTCCCGTAATCGGATTAGTTTTACTAACATTTTTACCGTAGTATGTACATTCAGTGCTCCTACGTTTTTCGCATTCCGGACACTTTCACAATATTGATCCGCTTACCGGACACCAGAGACAGGTATTCTCCGTGCTGTCCCACATTAGAAAACTGGATAATTTTTTTATGAAACTCGTGTACAGAGTACATGTAGAGACAGTAGAGCAACTCTAATTATCACGTAATCAATTTTCGAAATTTTTGCTATGTGGAAAAAGCGAAGAACTACCACTTCTCTGGTGGCCGGTACACGAATCCAGAATTGCGAAAATGTCCGGTATGCGAAAAACCTCCAAGTATACACAGCTGTCCCCTGGGATAAACTTTCCTAAAGAAGCGCCTTCTGTATGCGTTTCTCAGGCGCGACTACGAGTATGCAATAAGTACTTCGTAGTTCAGTACTTCTACATAAAACTGAAATAAGGAACCGAGCTGGAGTGAAACACCAAAAACACAGTCCGACTAGCGTCCATCTGGCTGTTGGTTGCTATACTGTACTGCCATACGAAATACAATTTTATTACAAATAATACGCAGATCTCTGCATCCACGAGAAATTCGAATGTGACCGACAGTTTTATACATCAACGATCCAGTACCACTGTATGGGAAAGAATTACCACATCACGTGATCGATCTACCGGGGGGACAGGCAGGTAGCCATGCAGGAGGCGTTGCCGGTCAGCATTGCGGCGCTGCATGCCGGCACGGTATTCTCAATCTCATCCACCACGAAACAAAAGTATCCAAACACCACGAAGCCCGCCTAGCACAACGGCTACGTTAACCACCAAGTTCATACGCGTAATTTAACTGTATAATGAAAACTGTCCACATCATGCTTTGTACACTACCATGTTTTTCGCACGCTTTCGATATAATCACCCAGCAAAAGCGTTTACATTGTGCAGTGCCAAGAACTGCTTAAAAGCAACACATACAAATGTACATACTGTGAGAATGACGTTGCGGGTTAAGCTGATAAATCCACCAGGACAAAAGGTCAGGGAGGTGCGCTTCAGCCGGGAGAGCAGCTCGTACGATATCTCCAATTCGTCCGCTGAGCATCCGGCACCGACGGATATGTCGCTACCGGGCGGCTACGATAGATAACACACGGAATTGGCGACAAATACTAGTACGCATATTCCAGACAAGGCCAATGCGATCCAAAATACAACAGGTATACCTCGCGATGGGCGTGCGGTGGACCACACTGACGCAGCACCATGATGTCTTCCAGTATGATCGCATACTCGTGCGGCTGCAAATAAAAACACGTTACTATTTATTATACAAACTGTGCATTCTTCGAGCAGACGTTTCCTTTAAAAGATCATTATTTGTGTTCAAGAAAAATTATTCAAAAACTGCAGAACAAAAGTTAGTATTTTACTCGTGATAGATGTGTTTTACTTGTGATAGTTGAGTATTGTTATTGTGTATGCCGGTTTTGAAATACTGTAATAAGAGCGTATAAATAGCTGCAAAACAAATAAGTAGCATCCATCGTTTGGAAAAATCATTAAAATTGTTTATTATTTATTTACAGGAAGGTAAATAACGGAAAATTTACTTTTATATTTTTCAAGTAGCAATTTTAAAGAATTTCGATGCTGCACCGGACAATGGGGACGCAAAATCAAACGTTCGGTTTACCATATCTGGATACTTTTTATTTTTTTATTATTATCGTAAGCAGGCAGTCATTATATTTTATTTCACCTGCGGTAGTGGTAGTCATATTATAATATTGTTACATGACTTCTATCACGGAATGAACAATTAGCACATGTATATTATCCTCAAGTTTTGTTTTCTGGGGCTAATTTTTATCGTTAGACTCAGGAAAATCAGAAGTAATCGACTGACCATCTGATGCAACGCACACGCCCCCTGCACGAGCATCCCCGTCCGCACACTGGCACTGATCCCGACCACGCCCAGCCGCGCCGCCACCATCCACGCATCCATCTCCGGGAGGACAAACCAGATACACAGCCACGACACTACCACCGTCACCTCCAGGAGGTTAGTCAGCGCGTCCGCTGCCATTTTGGCGCTAAACACCGCCTGCACCCGCCGCTGCATACCCACCAGCATCGCCCAATCCTGAAGGACCTCCTGGAGCCGGGACGTCACCGCGACGGTGTCGGTTACCGCGCCCAGTGTCCACAGAACCCGGAGGCGGTCAGCCACCGACAACCCCGCTGCCTGACACATCGCAACGACGACGTACACGACCACCGCGTCCAAAAACAGGATTATTGTGGAGATCATCAGGAAGACCACCAGGACAAGATACGCCCAACGACTGGGAATACTTACCGGTCCGTAACGGATATAACTACTGTTCAAAATCCGGGAATCCATAAAAAAGGTTACTCCTAATAAACCGCACAAAACCCCGCCGATTCCCAAAAGCACTACGGTATTCCTGATTATTCTTCCCTTTTTTCCCGGGAACGTCTTCCAATCCCGATTCGTCTGATCGAGGCATTCCACCGCCCGTTGCGATCTCAGCAACAAAAACACGAGACTGATCTCGGCTTTTGCCAAGATCAGCGGGGTGGACGCGTAGGCCACGAGGTTGACGATAGGCCGTACTTTCCCGTGGGAAGGTTGTCGGGAGGGCCCGTCAGCGAACAAATCCACGGTGTCGATTGCCAAAACCGGGAGGAAGGCAGATAAAAGGAGGAGCACCGTGCAACGCCATCCCCACCGGTTGACAAAAGGCGCCCAGCCGATGACCTTTCCGTTTTCATAAGAGAGCGTCGCGTTGAGGAACAAACGCAGAAGCGGGGAGAACGGGAAGCGCTGGAGGATATCCCGGCGCTTGGTCGGTGCATATGAACGACGGAAGAACATCGTTGCTGATTAGTGGAAAAATCGTCTCGAGCGGAAAATTACAGCGGCGAAAACTGCGGAGATCTGACGCTGGCAGCGATCGCGAATCATGTGCCCAGCATCAGAATTTGCCCAGCATTTTAAGCCAGTGAAATTGTAATTTATCGCTGTTGATTCGATGTACCTGTTGTGCCAATATTTGTACAATGTCCACGGTGTATTTTATACATGTAAAATAAATTTCACCGGTCTGGATGCGACTGCCGGTAAATTACAGGCGGTAATCATCGGAAGATACAGCAGGTTGTTTTCGGTGTGACAGGTGCAGTATCGGTACAAGTAATTATGTCTCACCGTCATCGTATTACCCGGCTTGGAAAGCTATCGTATTCTTCAAGGTTTCGATTACATATTACGACTATTCTTTCAATTTATGTGGATTTAATACTTGTCATGGAGTTTGCCAAAAACCGGGTTAAAAAATTTAAAGTACCGTTTTTGCCATGAATATCTGAAGACCGGCAAAATTGTTGCGGTAACCTTTAAACCGTCTTAAAGTGGCGCATTTAATTTTAATACCGGCGTAAAGTAGCGCGGTATGATAGCGCGTTAATCGCTTGGCCTGACAGCCCATGGCATGCCTCATCGCCGAGTGATATCAGCGACGAGGAAGATGCGGCTTGTTTGTTTACACAGCCAGCCATGCACCGGCCCCGATCAGAATCATCATGCCACGGGATCAATGTGCTCGGCTGTGCCATACGGCTGCTGGTGCCGGCCAGCCGAGGACGCCTGGTCGCGGCTAATCGAAGTAATAGCATAGTGGAATAAAACGCCGGATCATCTTTCGCTTTTCTACACACTCTCGCTCTTCGCTGTCGGTAATCGCGATGAAGAAGATGCATCAGGCTACTCACTGTCTGCACATCCATTAACAATGGCCGGTTTGTACGGGGATGATCAACAGGAGCGCCCAGTCAGACAGGCGGTGATTTTAACGGCACTTTATTAAAGCGAAGCGCGATTAATGACTGTGTCTGATCAAACTCCGGACAGCAGCGGTATTTCTTATAACCAGCTAATTTTACTCAACAATTCCAGTCGTTCATATTTAATTAAGGAATTAAAGCAGTATAGCATCGCCCGTAAAAATATGACCTTAAAACGACACTAATAATTTTCACGACATAAAAAATATTTTATGGAAATAATTCTGTTTAATTTTAGTTTAACAATTATAAGAACATTACTCAGGTTCAATTAAATTGGCGCTAATAGTTTTCGGAAAATTATATCAAACGCAACAGCGACAGTTATGGGCCTTATGGCAACCTTTCTCAATAGCGACAAAAGGTGACACTTTGAAACGCCGAAGATTATCGCACCAAAACCACACTGTGACAGGTTGACACGCGCAAGTCGTGGACAATTAACAGCCGGCCCACGCTAAATCCATACCTGCCGTTAAGTTAAAGTTAAACAGCGCGTTAAACGACCCCTCATTCCGCACATTTACTGCCGAGTGCCGATCCTAATCGCGTCGCGATAAATACAGCCCGGCCGCGCGCCAGATGTCAGCAGAATCCTGATAAGCATCGCGCACACCGCCATACAGCACTTAGCGTCGCGCAGTACGTGAGTGGCTGTGTGTGACGCGATCAGTGCAGTATGACGCGGATACACTCGTACACACGTACGAAACGGATATTTCAGTGCAGTGTAAAGCGTTAGTACGTACACGTACGAAGTGGATAATAATTATTAAATCCAGTGAAGCATAAAACACACGTACGTATTTAATGCCAATAAGTCACACACCACCCAAGGCGACAAATGGCTGCCTCTGTCTCTCTCTCGGTCTCCGCAAATAGCTGTGCACATGAAGATGCAAGATGCCAACCCAGCAAGACATCCTAATTGCCACCATCCTTTAGCTTTTAACGCTCCACATCACTCTCGTTTTTCTCCATCTACATAAACGCCTTTAATTACTGCTCTTTTTGGTCATTGCGTGCGTATAAGTATGCACAGCATGGGTTTAGTGGAGAATAATGACAATTACTTGTCGGACGTGAATCTGCGTGATAACACTAACGAGCCGCCGCCGACAACGCCGCTGAAAGATGCCAGCACGTAAGTGTAACGGTTCATTTATTTTAATGAGCGAATGTGTTTATCGCGCCCCGCCGCAAATATTTATCTCGACGCGCAACCGCTACCTGTCATTTATTTACAATAGCCCCGCTGACAACTAAACGGTCCGGGGTGTTTATTTCATCCCGGCGCTGTGTTATGAAACGCCGCGGAATTCTGTAAATATTTTATCCGGTATATTTTCATATAAATATTAATACGCTATTCATACGATAGCACTGTAAATATTTACGTTTATTTACCTGGCGTTTATTTATTACTGTTATAATTTTGTATTATAAATATTATAATTAAATACTATATTTTAAATAAAACTGTATCGACTGGAGGAAATTTGTAAATATTTACGACACGCGACATGCGTCGTTTACCTGTCACTTGGCTTAAATGTTTATTGCCTTGCGCACAGTTTACGCGATCCATCATAATACTTCCTGATACATAAATATTATAAAATTCCCACGTCAACATTGATTAAGCATATTCTCCCGCAGCGACGCGGAGCCCAGTACGGCTAAACCCAAACGTCCCAATCATCGTCGCCACGAAAAACCGCCCTACTCCTACATCGCCCTGATCGTCATGGCTATCCATAATAATCCCCAGCGAAAGGTCACGTTGAACGAGATCTACCAGTTCCTGCAGCAGAACTGGGCGTTCTTCCGCGGTCCGTACCAGGGTTGGAAGAATTCCGTCCGGCATAATTTGTCGCTGAACGAGTGTTTTATTAAATTGCCCAAGGGGTTGGGGCGTCCCGGCAAAGGTCACTACTGGACGATGGATCCGGCCAGTGAGTTTATGTTTGAGGAGGGATCGTTCCGGCGGCGGCCGCGCGGGTTCCGGCGTAAATGCCAGAATCAGGAGGCACTCAAAACACAGGTGAGGAAACAATTACCGGGTTACTTACATATTTTCAAAATACAAATTAGTTTTGTGCGAACCGCGCTGGGTTAATTAAAGGTTCTGCGATGCGAGCGTTTAAGTTTTACTTGTCGGAGTAAGGTCTGGAATTATAGGTATCTATTCAAAGTAAAACTTTGACAGATACCCGTAGTTTGAACTTTGACGTAGTGTGCCCGAGCTTGCACTTCTTGCTACTTCGATGGCTGTTGCCTAATATTATAATGTTTTCTAAACTTTATTTCGTTTCATTACCAATAGCACTGCTAACGTTTTTGATTCTATTACCTGTACCGATTCTACTATAACCGTATTATTATTAGTACCGGTAATGCTTCTGCAAACCGAGTTTTGCTAAATAAACTTTACGAAACACTTTAGCAGGGAATTAAAATAGTACTTAAATTGACAGATATTAATAGGTAAGCCGAACGGTTATATTTTCTATCACTTACAGCATCGGTTAATTAGTGTCATACGATCCGAGTCGTACCGGACGGCAATTCATACCGCAGCCGGGACCATACTAATTAAAGAATTGCTTACTGTTTTCTTACGTATGGCCCAAAGTGGAGTCGTGCTGTGCGAGAAGCCCAGGTCACAGTGACTTAAATGTCTAGCCAACATCCCTGTCGTTCAGTCGCTTAAACGGATAACCAGTTTTGCACCCAGTCTTAAAGTCTTTGGTACTCTTAACTGACACTTTAAAGTCCAACTGTTGCGTATAGAGACCGAGTTAAAGCGGCCGTTCTACTAAAAAATATAAGAATAGTTCTACCAAATAAAAAAATTAATTACTAAAATTATAAGCAAGCACAATATAATAAAAAATTCAGATTATTTCAAAGCACAAGAAAATATGTATAATAAATAAATATACAATAAATATAAATAAATATTTTTCTGTTTTGCAGTGCTCCACGATGTTATCCTCGATGGCCATAAACAGCGCCCCATTACCCGCCGCCCAGCCCAAAGCCCCCGGCCCCGGCTGCGCCTACCCGGACTCCCTTTTCGGCCCCGCCCCCTCCAGCCGGCCCAGCGTCAACAGCAGCGCCAGCGCCACCCCGGCGCAGCTGCAGCGTGCCGCCGCATTTGGCGCCCATATGGCGTCCGGTGGGAGCAGTCACCACCATGCCGCGGCGGAGGCCGGATATCTCTCGGCCTGGGGATCACTGGCAGCGCAGCACCATGCCCCCAACAGCAACTACACGTTCGCCTCGGGTGAGTTAACGTTTGTGGTGTGTTTATACAAGTTGTGCTGCTGGGTGCAGTTTGCAGTGTAGAACAGGCCGAGGAAAACAGATTTAGAGTGCTCGTATAATAAATACATCTGTGTGTGCTGGATAATGCGCCGCGCTTTACGGTACAGGCCTGTAATGCATCACGGTGACCTTTTGGCGCTCGCGGGCATTTGCGTACCCGGTATTTTTAGCGCTCAGCTAGCCTTTAAACGTCTTCCGCGAATTGGTAAAGATGTTGTTATAAAACTATTTCGGCCCGTGCGATAAAACTTTACCGAAAAATTAACAGATTTCAAACTTTAAATATATCAGTAAATTGCTTTAATTATACGAATAGAAGCTAGCATATTTACATATAAGGAAAATATCAGCCAAAATTGCACTGTTTGGCTTAATGCAATTGCTGCTTAACTGTGAAGCGGTAATAATTATAACAAGGAACAAAATACCTTGTAACCCATAATCCTATGCCTGATGGTACAGCAATCGTAGTGCGATGGCACCGATCTGACGACGTTTTCATGATCTGCATACTCTGTTCGTTGAAACCAGTAATTCTAAGTACATAGTGTACTTTAAAAATTATTGTATTGTGATATATATAAGTTTTTGACATAATGCTGATCGTTTTTGGAAAACGTCTCAGCAGTTTTAAACCGGGTTTTCAGTATATTGCAGCGGGAATCTTACCTAGAATGCTTGTTTAATGTTTACTGCAAGTTAGATTTTTTGTGTTACAAACACTTATGCTGTTATGATTTCGCGGTTTACTAATACACGAGTATAAACACAACGGTGCATAATTATCTCCGGTACAAAATTAAATTTCTGGAACCGCGGACCAACTGGCCGATTCCCATTTTCTTAATCCCACATTTTGTTTTATATTTAGCTGACTTTTCCTCTGTAGGCGGTTACCCGTACAGTTTCTCGCAGAGCGACCTGTACGGCCCCTCCTGCACGGCCCCGCCCCACCACGCCTACACGGCCTTCCCGGCCGCCTCGGGCTGCAGTCCCTACAGCCAACCGGCCAACTGCGCCTGGACCAACTTCAACACGATGGACACCACCGGCAGCGAGATGAACAAACTCAGCTACACGTCCACCGGCACGTGCTCCAGCGGCCAGTACGACATTATGTCACAGTGCGCCGCGGTGGCCGGCTTCCCCAGTGTCGCGCCGGGACACCTGCACGACACCAAACTGGGACTGTAGCATTCTTTCAATGTACCATATATTCGTCGATGTATCATTCAATTACACACTTGTACAAATGAACGAACCGATGACTGTGTAATTATTTGTACGGCTCTGACTAATACCGGCGCTTATCAATAAAGGTCTGATAACGGTTATTGTTAAGTCAACACTGCGTCGCGGAAAGTGTAGACAACGCGGCTGGCTGTAAAACCAACAAACGCATGTTCAAGAATTTTATGCCGCTTTCATTGCTGATGAGCATTTCTTTAGCGCAGACAGCAAATTTTACGACCGAAAAACTTTCGGGAATCTCGTACAAAAATTCATTATGACTTAGTGGGTTTTATTTATTTATTAGCTTATCCTTAGCGACAATGTACAGATTATATTATTGCTTTTGTATGGTAGTATTAATTAATATTAAGTACATTCGTGCGGAATCGTTATGGAGCACGCAAGCGTTGAACCAAACAGCGACCTTCAATGTGCCGTATTACGGGCAAGTGGACAACCGCAATCCCATTGCCTATCATTTCACGCGGCAGTTAAATACGTTCTACGACGGCGCAGTGCGCTTGACCGTCGGCAGTGTGGACGCCAGCGAGGAGGAGCCCATTCTCATCATCGTTAAACGGCAGCGCACGGTACGCTCCTGGCAACTTCCGCTGATTATGGAGGAGAATCATGGATATAGTTTCTTCAGTCGCACATTATGTCCACTGCATAATCATGGTATGGTGCTATTACATTTCTAGATATAAGTGTATGATTAAGGAATACGAACCTAGTGCATGTGTCTTGTGTAATTAAAACATTTGGAAAACTACAAAAAATTAGGAAAAATACGAGTAAAATAGTGATACATAAGCGGGAAGAACGAAGTAAAATATGCACTGCTATTTTCCAAAATGCATTATGTATACATTACTTGAACCGTATATCTCTTATTTCATTTCGTGGCATTTTGCTCCTCTTTCGATACGTATATTGATAAGTCAGTACTCAGTATATATACGAGCAAGAACTCACTGTAGGTAGAAGGACTGGGAACCGACTGTGCAACGGTCGACTACGTCATCACTGTCGCATACAGAATGCACTGCTGTGCTATTGCTTACCAAAGGTCCACAGATTTTCTTGTCCCTTTTAAAAGATATTATCAGTTCCTTTCTCCTCTAAGACTTCCTTATATTTTAACAGATCATATTCAATTTAGAAACCAAAATATGAGGGGCTAGAAATAGAAAAGAAAAGAAATATGCTGAGAAAACTGACAAAAACCGTGATAAACACGCATCTGTCACCATGGCAGCCGCCCTCCGTGTATGCGAGGGTGATGACGTCAAACGGTAGGTTACCAGTCTTTCTCACACTATAGTAAGTACTTGATACGAGTGTAATGAAAATTACCAACTATTCATGTGAAATTTTGATTTTTGTACTAAATTATAGAAGGATTAGTAATATCTGTAGATCTTATGCCCAATTTTGTTGATTTATTTTCTGCGTATAATTATTTTTTTTATTAAGTATTATTGAACTATTTATTTATAGTATGGAAATATGGAGTTTTATCGAAATTTACGTACTAACAATATTACCGGCTAACTTATGGTTAGTCTATGTTATTACTCTGTACTTTGATTTTCTGTCTATCCATAGCGTCAACAGAAATTCCGCTAGCTGGCAGCGACGAATTCTACGTGGAGATCTTCTCGGTATCCTCCACCCGCCTCTCCTACAGCCTGATGGTAGCCACCTTTCCGGGCTTCTCCGTCAGCCACCTCCCGAACTTTGAGCTGCGCGTCAGCCCTTCTGAACCCCAGTACGTCCACTACCGCATGCAGCCGGCCACCAACCGTGTCGTCGTCAAGGTCAACGCCACCGTCGGCGACACCTACTGCAGCTATTTATCCATCCAGTCGGTCCGCTGTCCCGTGGGGGACTTGGAGGCCGACCTCCGGCTGGACGGCCGCTACCAGACCGTCACCTCGCGGGCGGCCATCGAGGTCACCCGCGCCCAGTTCCCCAGCGGGGAGTTCTACATCGTCGTCCTGGTCCACACCCGGGATGACGACTGCACCGAGTCCCGCGGGCTCTTCAGCTTGCTCCAGCGGCACAGCGACGCCAAGGGAACGGTGTACCACGCCCCGCGCTACAAGACCGTTAACGTCACGGTCATCGAGAGCCTGGACGCCGAGGGGTACATCCTAGCCACGGTGGTCCCGGTGCTGATCTTCCTGGGGTTCTTCATCCTCTCGGTGGTGCTCCTGCAGACCGGTCCGCGGACCTGGAGGGGCATTTTCTGCACGGATCTCAGCCGGGTGACCCTCCCGACCGCCGAGGAGAAATGGGGGATCGCCGCGCTCTTCGAGAAAAGCATCACCGGCAAGGATATACCTTCGCTGTGGGACCCGGACAACTACGAAGCCTCCAACTCCAAACTCGCGCAGATGGTCCGGAAACTCCGGGCGTCCTCCGACCCCAATGTCCAACTAATGACCGAGAGCGCCCCGAAGACCGTCAACCTTACCGGCTTCGACTCCACGGACGGGCAACCGGGAGCGTTGACCCTCCTGCACATGGCGGACATCAACCGGAAGTCTGCCAGTCTGATTAAGCAGACCTCGCGGGAGTACGGCCTGACGCTGATCACGGTGTTCATCTTTTACAGCCTGCCGGTGCTGCAGCTGGTGATGACGCACCAGGGCCTGCTGGTGGTGACGGGGAACGAGGACATCTGCTACTACAACTTCTCCTGCGCCAACACCGTCGGCGTTCTCTCCGACTTCAACCACATCCTCTCCAACGTCGGCTACGTCCTCCTCGGACTCCTCTTCATCCTCCTCGTGCGCCGCAAGTCCATCTTCACCTCCAAACTAAGGCAGACGGTGCCGAGCTTGGACGAGTACGGCATCCCGTCGCAGGTGGGTCTTAATCAAATACATAAATATGCATATATGTGTATATATATAGAAGTACACGTAATAATGCGTTTTTATAGGTACAAGCTTGTCCCGTAATTTCTAACATAAAGGTTCTAACGCAAATGTAAAGATACGTTATGTACCCTAATTTCTAATGTAAGCATAATTTAATTAAACTGCCCTGGACTAGATTGGTCTGTTCTACGGGATGGGGATGGCGCTGACGATGGAGGGCGTGATGAGCGCCTGCTACCACGTCTGTCCCAGCTACAACAACTTCCAGTTCGACACCTCCTTCATGTACCTCATCGCCGGGCTCCTTCTTCTAAAACTGTACCACGCCCGCCACCCGGATGTCCTGCCGCAGTCGTACGCGGCGTACGCGCTGTTTGCCGGTTTTATACTGATCGCTGTGGTGGGCGTGGTCAGCCGGCATATTGGCTACTGGATCGCCTTTTCAGTGATCCATGGAATTGTCACCGTTGTCCTGTTCCTGCAGATACTGTTTGTGGGATACCTCGAATGGTCATTCGGTCAGTTCACAATTACAAAAACCGTTACGTAGTTTTGAGATACAGCGAATTCATACCGATACCTGCCTACAAATTGTCAAATTAATGGAAAAAATGCAAGAGGCACTGATTGGCCGATAGGGAATAAAACTACTGCAATAAAACTATTAAAATATCTTTTGTTTGCAGCCGGTGTTAGGAAAGGCATGAAGGAGGCGTTCGCCACAAAACGCGGTGAGCGCATGAAAATCCCCACAAGCCGCATCGTCCTGTCCACGCTGATCCTGCTAACCAACCTGCTCTTCGTCATCTCGGGACCGCTGCTGCGGCCGTACGATTTCGCCAGCCATCTGCTGTTCATTCTCCAAGCCAACCTGCTCATCTACGCTTCCTTCTACGTCGGCATGAAGATGATGGATCCCGATGAGCGCATCAGCCGCGCATCCTGCCTGTACTTTTTTCTGGCACTGCCCGCCTGGGGGGTCGGCATGTATTACTTCACCCGCGGGTACGCTTTGTAATAACGCTAAAGGTCATCGTGGATTGTGGCTTAAATACATATAAGTTTAAGTGTATGCTTTTTTGATGCACGCTTTTCAGTGTACGAGGACAATTGGGTGCTGTGAACATACCCTGCACGATTAGGCTGCGATGAACAGCCGGCTAAATTTAAGCCGTTTGCATTCAGACTGTGATATCAGTAGCGTTGCGAGCTACGGCTGACCAGCTGTTCATCGCAGCCTAATCGTGCAGGGTATGTTCACAGCACCCAATTGTCCTCGTACACTTTTTTAAATACGCTTTTTGGTGTAACCATTTTCTAAGCACGCTTTTTGGTGTGCGCTTTTTTAAGTACGTTTTTTTTAAGTACACTTTGGGATGCACTTTTTTTAAATGCGCTTTTTTGTGTACAGGTTAAGCAACTGGGAACTTAGCGCGGCGAAATCCCGGGAAGGCAATCGAGAGTGCTTCTTCTTCGAATTCTACGACGAGCATGATGTGTGGCATATGTGCTCGGCCATCGGGTTATTCTTTACCTTCATGATGCTGCTGACATTGGACGATGATCTGGCCACGGTGACGCGTGATCAGATCACGGTATTCTAGTTAATACCAAGATACCATATCGGTAGATCTGTCTAGAGGAACCGTTAAAGGAGTTTCCGTCGCTAGCATCGGACTTGTGCTGGATCGTAACGAATGCTATCGCTACTGAACTGTTGTTTACCAATGAACATGACGTAGTTGTAACTACGGAATTGCTGGTGCTTCCCATAAAATGTAAACAGTCGTTCAACAAGTCTGTTGCTTTTGTGGCGTTTACCGTTTCATAAGGGTTGCGTGATGTGCATTTAATCTTCAGAAGACGACGCAATGGTTTGCTTCTCGACTTTGTAGCTTCAAGTCAACATCTACTGTAGAGTCAGTGCAGACAGAACAAGTTGCCGTGTTCCTGTTTAAGCTCTGATTATCAATCTGGAGGCTCCTGAACGCCGAGATCAACCGGCGATAGTCTAATGGTTATACTTACAGGTCTATACATTAAGCGAATTTAGCGATGATCCCGATAGATCACTATCCTAACATTTTTTCCAAGGAGATTGTAATGTTAGTCATTAGTTATTATGTGCCTTTGGCACCGTGCCTTTTCTAAGCAAACCATCTACAAAATCAATGAGCTGCACCACTGACTAATTTAACATATACTGTATACATAGCGTAATCTGATGGCTGTGCAGTTGCTGTGTTCCACAACAACTGTTAAGGTGTTTCGGTAACTACAGGCGGGAATCAGGACGGTATTAGCGTACTGGGCTTGTTAAACGGCATAAGATCCTACATCCTGTGCGACCAATCAGACTAGCGTTATACGTCCTCCCCGTTCAGAAATTATACAAATACTGTACTGTACAAATACTGTACAAAATATTTTATGTATAATAATATTATTTGCATCAAAACCAGCAGGTTGGATGTATCGTTGTCAACCCTATAAATCTGCCTTGCTATCGGTAAATGTGCTGGCTCCGTAATATAGGAGTAACAACGACACGTCTCCACTTCCACAAACCATTTTCCATTGGTATTTTAAAACTTGCTCACGACTGTCAGCTCACTACGCACTAGTACGCAATATAGCCTTGTACGTTTTAAGTATTACGGTTGTGGCTGTGTTTGTACTGCATGAATAACGTGCCTGACGCATCGTCGTACAGTCAGCGCCGGAAGCGACACGCACGATACAACGGTCGTAAGCGAACAGCTATGCGCTGCATGTTGATCTTGCCGTTGATGGGAACCGGAATCGTTCTAGCTATAAACTTTTTAAAATAACGTCAGACAACATTCACACAGCAGCAGTGTGGCATGATCGATAGCATGGCCAACCCAACACACCAACCTCGATTCCACAACAAACCAGTCTCCCAGCTGTGTACACACAAGTCTGCCGGCTACAAATGTACTGCAGCCGATTGTAGCTTTTTAATGCCTACAATCAAATCCGCTGCGTAACGGTTTTACTATTCAATTCATGCCTGTATGAAATCTTTTGGCTGACGGCGACATCTAGCATAGTTTGCCAGCTATAATGGTACTAATGTTGCGTGTGCGGTTTTTGTGGTTAATGTTGTGTGTACTCGTGAATCGGCAAAACGTACAGGCTGGTGCCTCATTGTGGAGTCCGCCGGCGCTGAACATCAGCGCGGCCTTCGATGGGCCGTACAGCGGACAGGTGGACAGCCGCAACCCGGTGGCCTACCATTTCGGCCGGCAGCTCAACGCCTACAACGGCGCGCTGCGGTTGACGATAGGAAGCGTGGACGCCAGCGACGAAGCGCCGCTGCTCATCATCGTCAAACGACTGCGGACTGTGCGCTCCTGGCAGCTGCCGTTGCTCACGGAGAAGAACCATGCCTACCGCTTCCTCAGTCGCACACTGTGCCCGCCCTACGGTACGGAAAATATAGCATCGGTAGCACATTAGACCACTGCAGTTACGGTACAGTTATTGAACTTGAACGGTTTAATTTAAATCGCCTTCTTTAACTGGCAGTAGCCATCAAAGTAGCAAAAAATTACAGATGCGGGCAAACTAGTAACTACTTCGCAATTAAAATTTAAATCGATAGTTTATATTTAGTCGATCGATATTCCGCATACATTAGCCATGCCAAATGCATGTACAAAGTATCTGTAGAGCATTACAGTATTACTGTAAAATTATTAGAGTGTGGCGTGGCGCGCCGTAGTATGGAGCTTGGCGTAACGGGTAACCCGAGATTCACGGGTTATTGTATTATGCTTGTATAACTGGTTTCCTTCATGTTTAACAACAATGATTATACTACGGTTATTGTACTGTAATCCACAATACAAAATACAAGACGATATAGGCACACTGGCACAGTGCATTAGCCGTTAGCATCAAGACTGACGACAGCAAAATGGGCCTATTAACTCCGTACGTTTATACGAGCCAACGTCAATGGTTCATTATGGTTGTAATTTGGCAACGTCCCCACTAGCCATAATACCATTCATGGAGCTTGCGCAGCATTCAACACCCCCCGCAGCGAAATGCGTATAGGTGTGTACTATTTGCAGGAGCCTATACCGAACACGTATCTGTAGGCTGCAAATGAAAGCACGCTTATGGCGTTGGTTCCGTATTATGTTTGTCCAGGCTGAAAATAAATGGCGCTTTTGGCGATGTCAGTGAATTCAGTTCAATTTGATGAATCAAGAAAGAGCCGCGGCAACGCATTCGCATCTTTTAAATCGTCGAAAATCGACCGAATACGGACGGAATCAGTGACACAATGTTCAGTAACACTTTGACGGTTTAACAGAACGTGATGGGTCGACGGCGTGCATCTTGTAGTGACGGTCGATGAAGTTCCGCCCACGAAATGACCCGTTCCATGCGGATGTACTGACATTTCTGTGCCTACTAGATCGACGCAGTTAAAGTATTGCTCAAGGAGCTCTGATTACTTATTTTGCGCCTGCTTTTTAATCGCGAGAGAACTGTCAGTTGTACAGGCTGGAGAGCATCTAAGGTCACCACGGCATCTATGGTTATTTTAACCGGAATCGGGAAACAACTAAACTACATACCGGCCTACATTTTTTAAATGTCAAAATCGTCCCGTACGAAAGAGTACCGAAACTAAAATCAGTGTTTAGAAGAAACCGCTTTTGAAATACGAGTATCTACAAGACTACAGGAGATTTACGTTTAAGGCGTCGTTGAGCGGAACATTTATTCAGATGAAATTACTTCCGCTTCGATGTCCAGGTCCGCAACTGAAAACACTAATGCTTTATTCTTGTAGTGGCGACGGAGATAATCCCGCATGCTGCACACAACGAATTCTATGTGGAGATCTTCACGGTGTCCCCGTCGCCGGTCTCCTACAACCTCACCATCGCCACCTTCCCCGCCTTCAACGTCAGCCACCTCCCGCACTTCGCGCTGCACGTCAGCCCCTCCGAGCCGCAGTACGTCCACTACCGCATGCCGGCCGATCGTAACCGGGTCCTCGTCAAACTCCACACCACCTTCGGCGAGACCATCTGCAGTTACTTATCCATCCAGTCGGTCCGCTGTCCCGTGGGGGACCTGGAGGCCGACCTCCGGCTGGACGGACGCTACCAGACCGTCACCGGGCGGGCGGCCATCGAGGTCACCCGCAGCGAGTTCCCCAGCGGGGAGTTCTACATCGTCGTCCTAGTCCACTCCCGGGATGATGACTGCGCCGAGTCCCGCGGGCTCCTCAGCCTGCTGCAACGGCGGACGGAATCCCGGGAGACGGTGTTCCCGACGGCGCGCTACAAGACGGTCAACATCACCGTCATGGAGGGTCTCGACGCCGAGGCCAATAACCTGGCGCTGGTCGCTCCCGTACTGCTCTTCCTGGGGTTCTGTGTCATCGCGTTGCTGCTGCTGCAAAGCAGTCTGAAGACGTGGAGCGGGATTCTCGGCGGAGACCTCAACCGGGTGACCTTTCCCGAGGTCCAGCGACGGTCTAAAATTGCGGCGTTTTTTGCGAAAAGTATTACCGGCAAACCTATCCCGTCGATGTGGGATGAAAAGAACTACACGGCTTCCGATGCAAGGTTATCCCGATTGGTCCGTACTCCCTCGGACCCCAAACTCCAGCTCCTGGCTGAAGGGGACACCAAGACCGCAAACCTAACCGGCTTTGATTTTATCGACGGTGGCGCCACCTCCTCGCCCATCCTGCACGTCTCCGACATCAACCGGAAGCCCTGCACCGTGATCAAGCAGACCTCGCGGGAGTACGGTTTGACGCTGATCACGGTGTTCATCTTTTACAGCCTGCCGGTGCTGCAGCTGGTGATGACGCACCAGGGCCTGCTGGTGGTGACGGGGAACGAGGACATCTGCTACTACAACTTCTCCTGCGCCAACACCGTCGGCGTCCTCTCCGACTTCAACCACATCCTCTCCAACGTCGGCTACGTTCTCCTCGGACTCCTCTTCATCCTCCTGGTGCGCCGCAAGTCCATTTTCACCTCCAAACTTAGGCAGACGGTACCGCGGCTGGACGAGTACGGCATCCCGTCCCAGGTACCCTGTAATGCTGATAAGTCGTTTTTGAAACCGTTTTGAGCCGTTTCGAAAACCGTTTTTGCGCTCAGCATCGGGTATTTCTAGGTAAGGTATGGATGCAATGAATTCTACCTTGTTCAAACGCAAGTAGGAGTACTCTGCAGTTTTTTCGCCCACATACAATGGACGACCAAAAGAAGTTGAAAGCGACCGGCCAGTGTGCGGTCGCGCCTCATTAACTTCTTTTTGTCGTGCACTGTATGCAGTGATTTGAGCATAAGCATAAAACAATTTGTGCGAAGCCAATGTGTTCGTGCGTGTACTTGAACTGGGAACCCTTAAAGTACGTATCAACCTGTTGATGAAACAAGCTGAAACGTTGGCACATCAACAAAGATTACAACAACAGAATCTGGTTGAACTTATGCGGAATTAGGTGGGCCTGTTCTACGGGATGGGTATGGCGCTGACGATGGAGGGTATCATGAGCGCTTGCTACCACGTCTGTCCCAGCTACAATAACTTCCAGTTTGACACCTCCTTCATGTACCTCATCGCGGGATTGCTGCTATTGAAAATGTACCATGCCCGGCATCCCGATGTCCTTCCGCAGTCCTACACAACCTATCCACTGTTTGCCGGTGTGATCATAATCGCCGTGGTGGGCGTGATCAGCCGGCACATCGGCTATTGGATCGCCTTCTCCGCTGTACACGGGATTATTGCTATCATTGTGTTCCTGCAAATACTGTTTGTTGGCTACCTTGAATGGTCACTCGGTATGTAATTCTTAAATTTTGAAAAGCTACAGCGCAATCGCTTATTTCGGATTTGATTGTAGTATGCTTAAAAAACGGGATGAAGGCCGTGTTGACAGTCAAACAAGGCAAACGCGTGAAGATCCCGCCCAAGCGCATTGTCCTGTCCACGCTGATCTTGCTGACCAACCTGCTGTTTGTCATCGCGGGACCAATGCTGCGGCCGTACGATTTCGCCAGCCACCTTCTGTTCATCCTGCAGGCCAATCTCATAGTCTATGCGGCGTTCTACGCCGGCATGAAGATTCAGGATCCTCATGAGCGCATCAGCCGCGCTGCCTGCCTGTACTTCCTGCTGGGGGTGCCCGCGTGGGGGGCCGGCATGTACTACTTCACTCGCGGGTACGCTGCTTACAATTAACTGTAAAAGTGTACTCAGCTGTACAGGTCATCAACACACTCGGCCTTCATTAGAACTGTATGCATAGCTATATGGGTCACCTAACTGTAAGGCCACCATCACATTTTGCATTATATAAGGATGTTTACATTTGCTCTTACTTTATTACAAAAGGCCACAAACCCTAAAGGTCATCGTTCCGTTTGCTGCAAAGAAAAAGCAGTGTCATTTTCTCGTAATGTTTTAGCGTTCGTGAGGCAAAATTTCATCCGTGTCAGTGACTTGTACGTAGGCTAAGTGATTGGGAAGTGAGTGCGGCGAAATCCCGGGAAGGCAACCAGGAGTGCTTCTTCTTCCAGTTCTACGACGCACACGATGTGTGGCATATGTGCTCGGCCACCGGGTTGTTCTTTACCTTCATGATGCTGCTGACACTGGACGACGATCTAGCCACAGCGACGCGTGATCAAATTTCTGTGTTCTGAAATACTGAATTTTCCAAGACCATTCGATGCAGTAACGATGGTTTTTACATTAATAATTGGCTATTCCCGTGCTCAATCAGATCCTATCCAATAATAAACAAGCAATAAATTGATGAAACCGTGAAAACCGCTGTTTTCATCGCGTATTAAGTAACGTACGTCTTTGACCAACGGATAACTACAACATTAACAGGAAACAAACCATCAGTTGGGTTACGCAAGGATATCTTCAAAACACCGGTCTTTTGCATCAGTAAAACTTTTCCGATGTCCCTTTGTTTATATAGCATATTAAAAGGGAGCAAAAAAAGGTAAGACAACTATTTCGCGTTTTTCGTAGATTCACCATGTCACATTCATACTTTAGTGATTCTCACCGCCTCCGAGCCACTTCACTACGACTTCGCACTGTTCGCAAGAAATCGTGGCTCGTCTAAAGTGGAGTGTAATTAACGGAGTAACAATAAAATCCCTAATTCTCCTGAATTCATCGCTTTTCGTTGGCGTAATAAGTATCTTCAGGCCAAAAACATTAGGCGTTGTGGACAACAATGTTGTCATACCACAGCCATGGTTTCTCGAATCTCCATCAAGAAAATACGAGTATGTTCGCGGGGCGTGGTCATGTAAATTCGACAGTGCAGTAAGTGCTCCGTTTCTTATCGGTTATCACTGAATATCCTGCAATCCTTCAACGAGACAGTCGGGTACTTGAATCATTAAAGCATATCAGTTACAGGCTTACAGCGGCGACTTTTGGACTTTAACAGGACATCGACAGCGATAAGTTTATTTACATACAGATACGTACTTTACCGGTACTTGAGCTTCCGAATTCCGATCAACCATAACATAATAACTGGCAACCAACTTAACAGGTAAATACAAAATCCGTTGTTTGACTGCACCTAGTTCAGCAAATCAGCTTTCGACTCTTTGTTGTCCGGACCGTCCGGTAGGTACGTGAGCATGTATTTTCCAGTTTCCATTTTCAAGTTTCTTAGTGGTCCATAGGCTGACCTGTTAGGTACCTGATCCACCGTCCCGAAGACTTTTTGATGGTTGTCGTCGAACTTCGAAGCTCGCGAAAATTTTACGCTGAACGTGCTGTGTTTCATGTATCACGTGATTCCATAACTGTGGATTGTTTATAGCAACGCAGAATACCGAAATATGCGGGATCCGTTTACAGTCAACACAAGCTGCCAATGTCCGCAGCAGACCGAATATTATCCCGTTTATTTGATCCTCATCTTCCCCATCAGCGCCGCGTTCGGGAACTTGGCGTTTTGCCTGTCCGTCATCTGTACGCCCAAACTGCGCACCGTCCCGAATTTCTTCCTGGTATCCGACGCCGTGGCCGACCTGATCGTCAGCGGCTGCATGATCCCGCTGCGCATCATGTTCTACGTGCAGGACGACTGTTTCCCGGCCGGTCACGCCCTGTGCCAGTTGTTCATCGCCTCCACGGAATACGTCAGCGCAGCTAGTTTAAGCCACGCTGCTGTTATTTCCATCGAGAGGCACGTCCGGCTGTTCAACCCGTCGGCGTATAAAAAGTACAGCAAGGCGGTTTTCATCCCCGTTCTCATTCTCATCTGGTAGGTTTCTTAAATTTGTTAGGTTTAATATTGGCCCTGTTACTGTACGTACATGGTACTATCTGCGAGTACATTTCGCTTGAAGTATTACTGCGGCTACACTCCCTGCTTCATAGCTAACAGCTTCAAACCACAAAAATGTAAAGGTTTTCAGCACTCTCATATTCGGCTTTACAGTATGTAGAGTAGACATAAACTACTCGCCGAGAATTCCCTTCGATGGTCAATAAGCCACTACTCTACGCTCATGCGGCAAGTTTACCGCTCGCAGCCAATAAATCTTGTGTCCGCAAACTGCGGGCAATTACAGATACTGGGCACCTGTTGTTGAAGGTAGTGTGGGTTCTGTATAAGTGCACGTGTTTATAAAATATGGGAATGCCTCAAATTATTGATGTATTTTTCCGAAGGTGGGAACTGGGAAGCTGTATTGGGGCGCCCACATACGCACCCAACAAGTCGTACTGGATTAACAATCTTAACAATATTAGGCAAACGTGGCGGATCGAGCAGGTGTACCGTCTAACATTAAATCAGTAGGACCGTTTGGACTTGCTACCCCACCCCACAGAGGGTCGTAGTCAGCCGTCCATAAATATAACAAAATGTATTAATTTGATCACTTTTCCCTTTTGGCAACCAGCGTCGTCTACAGCGGGTGATAACGCGCGAAAGCGAAAGTTTGTATCTCCGCTCATTTTCTTAGTTATTCGTAGGTTCTACCCGGCAATCTTCACATACATCAAAACCTTCGTACCCTCGGCGCTGAATCTATATCCCTACGACGACACAGACGACGGTGACATCTGTCGGCAGCTCCAACGTACACCCTGCAACTGCCTTCTCTGCTTTCCAACCTACATCAATCTTATCGACATCACTGGTCAGAACATTCTCCCACTCAGCATCACCTTCGCCATGTACGGCCACATCATGTACGTGGCACACCGACGCATCCGGCTAGCCGAACGCATCCGTCGCAGCCTAACCTCCACAACATCCACACGCAACAGCAGCGATACCACCCCAACGGTGCCTCCCGATCAACCTATTCCGCCGCATCCCAGCTATGCGCGAAAGATGCTACAAAGCCCGGAATTCCGCTCCATCCGGCTGTTCTTAGTAATTCTCATCGTACTGTGTATCTGCGTGATTCCGAGCATCAGCAACCACATCGCCCTACTCTTTTACGCCGACGACAGTATCCGGCAGTTGCAGACAATTATAGAAGCGGGCGGGCATGTTCTAACGTCGAATTGTAACGTGGCGTACGAGAGTCTGCGGTTCGCCATTCCGGTACTGTTGTGGTCCAATTCGCTGATCAATCCACTGCTGCTGTTTATTCTCAATCGCAACTACCGGGTGGCGTTTCGCGCGGTAATGACGCGTGTGCGGCGGAAAGCGAGGTGTCTTATTCGGAAAGGACCGGAGGTTGGGAGCGGTCCTGCCAGGTCACGGGGCGTACAGATACCCAGCGGAAATCGCTGGTATCGGGTCACTATTATGGGGGATTATTCCCTTCCGAACTAACCAAACCAGACAAGAGTGATTTTGCCGGTACTTTTACGAATCGCTCTCAGTGTTAGGTGTGACCTTTCTGCTACTAATTATTGGGCTAAGTGAGCTTTTCACATGTTAATCAGTATGCTGTGTATTGCTTAACAGTACCTCGGAACAAAAATCGACATCATTGTCGCTTGTGCCGGAAGAAATTAAATCGCGAATTAAATCCAGACAATTTACGAAAATTGTACTGGATTAAGTTAATTTGCCGTAAAAACTGCTGCCCTTAAACTACCGCACAGATCTTTACTGAATAATTCACATGGTCGCTTAGAAAACTAGAAAAAATTATTACAAACTGCCATATATTAATAAATTAAACCGGTGGCTTAAAAACCCAACAAATAACAACGGGGTTAAGGAATAAATACTGCAATGAAAAGTATATACAACAATAACCATCTGCATAAAACACCAGTCCAACGTGGATGACAAAAACTGTAAATTAAACCGGTTTATCCGGTAAGGAACGCCAGAACGAAACGCTTCAACCACGGAGTCCCCTTCAGGAACGTTTCCGGTTTCAACGGCTTCGGTTTGTACGCGCCGGCCGGCAGACCGTCCTCCTCAAACATGTCACGCGAACTGCAAAGGGTCAAGCATAATCATCACAAATAATTAAACAGTGTCTGTATAACTCGTTCTCAATTCGGTCTCGTGATTTTTAATGCATTAATAGCTGCTGTCAAATATACCACGTATTGGGACTCTGATGCGAATTGTATTTAAGTCAAAGCTCTCGAGTGCGCAACAACTCACGCACTGATTTGTGAGTCAGACAGATTCACTGATAACGCCGCGCGCATTGGTCAGATGGAGAATCAGTTGCTGAATTAGAAAACCGAGCTGTTGAGCTCGGTTTTATAATTCGCGCTCACATTCATGACCGCTTGTCGACTCTTTAAAATTATCTTGCGCTGCTAATAAACGTTCGTAATGATCCAGGCTGCAGTAAACTGTATGTAATTACGTTGTACTTACTGTAGTTCGTCATTAAGTTTTAAGATAATAAGGTTTATTTAATTAACTTAATAATTAGTAATTGAGCGAAAATTTGATGAACTAACTAGAGTCATTCACGCCTAATTAGCACATTTAGCACTTAATTAATTAGCAAATCTGCCCCTAATTAGTAATTTCCCACCCATGTTTTTTTATCACCTAATTAGCAAATTTGTTACACATGAAGAAAAAATTAATATTACATGTCATTAAGCTATGCGAAATTATTTTTCTTAATAAGTTTGCGCTTGTTGTGTTGCGTTGTCCATCGTAGTGAATGGCACTGAAGGCAGATTCATTGCAGAATTCACGGTGCTGTCAAATTTTGTGTTTATTTCTACGAGTGTATCCGTTATCAGTGGTGGGAACATGTTTCAATTTTTTTCTCTTAGTCATAGCGGAAAGATGAGTAACCGATTCGTGCGCAGCAGTCATGCCGCAGATACAAGCGGGCTGCTGATATTTGACAGTCCTAAATGCAAAGTTCAAGTTCTAATGCAAATTAACAGGTTTAACTCTAAATACTAATGTGCGCCACATTAGTTATGCTCTTCATTCATGTGGGATGGCTGACGCATGCGAAATATCGATCAAAAATATAAACTATCAATACACACATTACAAAACATTAACTTTTCTCATTTATAATTACCCTAAATACTGATAGGAGGAAATTTTGTCATTTTCATAGGCGTATGCTCCGGTTTTTCTTATACTTCGGGCACTTCAAGTACTTATAAGCTCTCATATTTTGGTCACCTGGTGTTAAACTTCTTGACAAACAAAAATCCCAGAAATAAATAGCTTTCATAACAAAAACGTCGCTCACGAATTTCAAAGCATGAACTTAGAAAAATTTCGATAAAAGCCAAAGGAAGGACGGGACGGCCGAGTGCAGTGTAAAAGAACCGCTCTTCCACGTCAGAAATTTCAAAAACTAAATTTCAGACATTTTCAAATACAAATTTCCAACATTTTCCAGTCTGTTTTGATGACTTCAGACTAGTGAAAACAAGTCGAAGCACGTTATCAGCACCTTTTTAATGTAGCGCGCCACATGGGGAATGATATACGTGACCGCTGACCAAAATATGCAACCGTAACTTAAAAGTGACCGCAATATGAGAAAATCAAAGTAGTGCAATGGCGATCGTTCATAGGGCAAACTTCATGCTTAATACGTACTACTGTACACCTTTACGATAAAAACTACGGGACAATCTGGCACAGCAATAAAATAAAACACAAGAAACATACCGCGCCAAAAACCGCGTCAGCTCCTTAACCATCCCGTCATCATATTGCCCCAGTAACGCCACCGCCCGTTGCTCTTCCTCCGCCGTTAGCGCTCCGGCAGACTCAGCGACGAAGCGCGGCCAGGCCCAATACGGCTCCGTGCCGCGGGTGAAGCCCAGTCCCGGTCCGTCGGCCACCGGGATCACGGCGTCCGCCACCTCCGCCGCGAAGATGATCCACTCGTCAAAGGGCATCCGGGCGCGCAGACTGACGCGGTGCAGGCGGACGGTGTGCACCCAGGGGGCGCTGTAGCAGTACTGGTCGCTGTGGAAGAGGTTCTGCGCCAGGGTGATGTGGGACAGGACCAGGAGCGGGAGGGGATGGTGGACGGTCGTCATGGGGAAGACGGTGTCGGTGTCGCTATATACGACAAGAGAAATGAGTGATATGAATAAATCGGTCAATTACAGATTCCGGACTATCAAAAGAAGCTCATGTAATGTCTCTGTAAACCTGATGTCTAATTCACGAATATGCAGGACAAAAAAAAGGTAAAAATCGGCTCGGCCAGTCTGTCCGCGGGTGAAAAATTCATTTACAAGGGAAGTGACCCGATACATGGTGCTAAGTTTCGGGTACATGCACAAAAACAGCTGGACAGCCAGTTCGCACAAATTGCGAGTCCGGAGTCGGCCCATAATAGCGCTCATTTACGGAATATGCACTAAAACTATGCATGGTTAAGTAAATTCCTTTTAGTCTTACATCATACATGTATGCCGCTTAATTCCGGTGCGCTCGAAGACCAGCTTGAATAATTTCAAATCTTTATAATTCCTTGCGCGGTAACTGTACGTAGCGACATAAATCAATCGATAATCATAGCATTTGCACCACACTGAAGCGCTTTCAGTGTCACAGAAAAACGGTCATTTAAATGTGGCGCTGGATAAATGCTACGTTATGCTCTCCGAGGCGGCACAGTAATTACTGTAATTTCTGCTGTTGAACATCACCTGACAAGATATGATCGAAAAACAAGATGCGTCGTTATAACGCGCAGTGCGGTCGCTTTTCTGTTCGAACTCAGTGCCGGCGTTGTATGGACATAGACCGTTTTCCTCTTGTACACTGTTTGTTGATTTTATTATTCAAATTTCGACCCGTCAGCTGCTGCGCAGCGGGTCATCACGAGGCATCAGTCGTGTGACAGTCAGCGGCATGATACTCGGCTTTATGGGCATTTCCTTGCAGGACAATTCGCTTTTGCGCTTTTATGACGGAAGGGGATGCCGACGTTCACCGCACAGGCTCTTTATTTCGCGAGCAAAAGTCACACAACGAATTATTCCAGAACGGAATTATGGCTCCCACGAAATAAGTGTGACGCGAAATGCCCCACGACTATTTGGACGTTTCGCCGACTAACAGTTCGTCGACCGACACAATGTTGAGCGAACAACGTGGAGCGTCACGAGAGCAGCGGGTAAATAATCTAAGAATAACCTAAGAGACCTAAGAAACCTAAGAAACCTAAGAAAACCTAAGAAACCTAGGACAACTAAGAAACCTAAGAAAACTAGGAAAACTAAGAAACCTAAGGAAACTGAGGTGGTTTAGCTAAACGCTCATTCGACGTCATGACGGGTCGGCATCGTGTCTGTTGGACGAAATGACGGTCGGCGAAGTGGCGGCTCACTCCCCGCAATTACTGACTGTATGTATCTGTACCTAGTGGTCTGCGGTCGCGTACTGGCGATGGAGCGCATCAACCCCTGCATGTCATCGGAGTACTCGTACACATCCATGGGGTTGTTAACGGGCGGGCAGAATTCGGATGCCGCTTTGCGGACGACGACGGTGTCCACGGTGGACGGCAGGATGGAGCGGACGCAGGAACGCAGGATATCGCGGCCGAACACGGAAAAGGACTGCGGGAGTGTCGCGATCAGGCATCCTGTCTCGGTGACCTCTAAGGTGGCGACGCGGTGCTGCGCTCTGGGTCGGTCATCCCGTAGCGTCTGCCACAAACTGCATACCCTGTACAACAAGAAAGGCACGCTTGTTTTAAATAAAATTACTCGTAGATTACTGTTTCGTTCAACATGTAAACAAACCTGAACGTCAAATACGCGTATAACCAGAACGTCAAATGTAAACCGAAATTCGCATATAAACTGCGTAAATGTAAATATGGGATAGCTGCCGCTTCGAAGCCCACTTTTCTGAATTTAAATTAAATCTCAAAATTTTCATTCACCTGACTTCAATCGAAAGCGGCGCATCAACCGACGCGAATTATCTGGCAGCAGAACAGCAAGAACAATTTTTAAAAAGGCTGTTAACAACGCGTGATCGTAACATTCTACAAAAAGGGCTATGTAAAGGTTATGCGCAATATAATACAGTAATTAATATCAAGATCACTTGTTTGAACTTTTAACTGACATTACCGTTGCCTCAGTACGTTGGGAATTTTCGTAGCGACCTTCGAACATCAAGTCTAAAGGGAACATCGAACAAAAGGATCAGCTGATTTACCTGCCGATTGTCGTAATGGCTACCGCATCGAGATACGAGTAGATTTCCCACACTAAATCCAACGGAATATCGCTCCAGCCCAATTCAGCGCAATCGTCCATGTTTCGAATGTTACAGTGTACAGCGATAAAATCGTGGAGACTTTTGGTCAGTTCGAAAATGCTATCGAATGATCTGCGCGTGACCGGCACGCGGGAAGAAGGAACCGAACACCTGTTTGTAATGACAAAAACGGGCAAACAAAAAAGGTTAACGCCGGTTGTACAAAGTCCGTTTAATGAATGCAGCGGTTTGAACTTCGGTTCCGTCTTTTACGCCATCCGTACACCGTTTGAACGGGCCAGACGGAGCCGATGATGTAATCGTCTATACTGCCGTCAATACACAGTTCATTCAACAGGTGCGTACTGCACAGTGCATAGCGCTACTCGTACTGAGTCGTGCGGCTGTCGGGTGCGCAGTCTGCGCAGTGCAGCACTCACAGCAGCGCATACTGGTCAGACAGACTGTGCAGCGCATACTAAACAGATAGACTGTGGTGTGTACGAGAAAACGCGCTCGTACGCGCTGTGTACGTCTGGTCTGATATCATCGGTCATACGCCGATGGCCGACACTGTACTACTACTACCGCGTCATTGATCAGTCTGGATTGAAGACGATTGTCTGAGCAATCCCTGTTTCACGTCTGGACACTCACAGGAGATCAGTCAAATCACTATGCTATAATATTACTGTATTATGCTGGCCATTTTTTCCAGCTCATTAATTTTACACTCTGGTCTTTCGGAAGATCTTCCAAAGTTGATATTTGATAATAATTTACTCGCACTCGATGAGTGTGCATCGGTGCATGAACCAGCATCCCTCTATCAGTAAACTGCAGACATACTTAAAACAAAAAAATACAAATAAAATACAAATAAAATAATGCGTTTATCCGTTTACAGTACTAGTATTGTGACCGTCACTATTGTCATAATAAAGGGCAATTAATTTCCAAGAAATATCGAAAAAACAGTTACGAAAAAAGTAAAATAAAATACAATTATTATTATTGCTGTAATTGCAAAATTAACGGGACTTTGACGACTGCATGCCAGGTAGAATAAGTTATGTACACGTACCATTAAATTTTTTTACTACAGTATTAATGCAGGCTATTAAACTGATCTCAAAAGCAATAAGTACAGTCACAGCAGTCGGCAGCCAGGATTAACTGACGCCGACCACTCTGTTGCGCCGGTGTTGACAAAACACCGCTACAACGTCCGAACATTATCTCATCGCTTGATTGATTTCTCCCACCATTTTTGGACAGACAAACTTTCCATTTTACTGATATTCGTTGGAATGGATAAACCGTGTCAAAATCAACTCACACCGGGCACGATTCGCGCTGCCTAATTAAAGCACATCGGTATTGACGCAACGTGGTTTCTGCCTAGTCTCCTGAAATTCTGAATGTCGAAGAGAAGAAATTCAACCAAATTAATTCATTTATAAACCCATCTGATCTGCAGTACTTTCCACGTTAAAAAAAACTCTCACCCTGGTCAAAAACATCGACAACAAACTCCACCCCTAACCGGGACACAAACATCACCCCGGCACTTTATAATCAAAACCAAAAATCCATCACAAAATAGAAACCACCAGCAGCACTTGTGTGCATCAGCGGACTAGCAGCGCAGTGTATCACAGCTGTGACTCCACTCGGGCACGACCAGCTCCTCGTTGGCGGCCGGCCGACAGCGGACGGCGGCGGCCTCCAGGCGCTGCAGGACGGCGGGGTCGGCGCCGCGATGACTGACCAGCAGGGGGACGGGACGGGTGTGGCGCAGGCGCCGGTAGAAGGGGCAGTGCAGTAGGTGCTGGCCGGTGCTCTGGGCGCGGATAGCCCACGATTCCACCTCGTCAAACGCGCAGCTGAACGTCCACCGCTACACAACATTACGCCCATATTATATATAAAATTGCCAATTTTATTAAATTACCTGACATTATTTACCGTTTTTTACTACGATAATTTATGGCCTTTTGGATTGAAGTTTTTGCTGTACAACTGAATTTAAATTACCGGTATTTAAATAATTTATGTACCAATAATCTAAGCTTAATTATATTAGTAATTGATACAAACGTTATACATGTACTTTCAAATGCAATTATCTGTACGACCGTTAAAAAACTTGGGGCTACAGATTTATTTATATTTGGCGAAGAATTGTAGTACATGGGCTCACGGTGGTGCAAGTGTATGACATATCTCCTCTCACTGCTCACCATCAGCGCGGTATGTAGACCGCGAAACACATAATGGCTGATTTACTCGTTTTATACCTTTTTCTGTAGTATTTGGCCTGTTGTCTAATCATACCTCGTATTAAGTAATTTTTATTGTACAAACACATATTATGAATATTATAGGGAATTTCTCTTATTGATATTACTGTCACGTCGGCAACATTAATTGTTTTTCTCAAAATTTAATGAAATTTTGTTCCATCCATGTTGTCAAGCAAAAAAAGCTTGCGCGGAACTTCTGCGGTAAGGCTTGAATAGTCAAGTAGATTATTAGTACAGTACTCGTACAAGTATACCTGGAAGCCGATCTTCCACTTTTTGTTGGGCGCACGAATCCATTCCTGCTGCACCATGCCCTGCTTCTCCAGAACGCCCACGCATAACTGCCGCAAGCGGCGGTTGACGCGGGAAAAACTGTTCAATGAGTATCCTGTAAGAAAGAAAGAATTTCTCTGATTTTTTTCAAGCGGAACATCATGTTTACCGTCTTCCAGAATTAACAGATATTTCAAAACAAAATAACCGTGATCGTTCTCATATTTCAATTTTACTGACCGTCAACTATTATTATCACAAAATACATTTCTTACATACATCGCATTTATTGATAAAAAAATAAAAAACCCAAAACAAACGTTTCCTCATTGATAATCGTGCTATAACAAAAATTATCCCAGCACCAGTAATTATTCACTGTTTTACTTCGCTGTTAAAAAATATTCAGAAAACATTTCGCCGGTGAAAATGATTTGTTAAAACTCCCGCTAACATTAATGATAATTCCAAAAAAATACACCGATCGTGTACAGTACAACTGGGAATACATTCAACAATTTTCTGCACTGACCGTCTAATTTCCGCACGATCTTGGTCAAGATCTCCGGCGGCAGTTCCGATAAATAATCCCCGCCGGTGTCGTTGCGCAGCTGCGCGTCACAGGCGGTGCGACGGATCCCGAAGCTCTGCAGCTCGGCCGAGTGGATGACGGTGGCATCGGGCCGGCTGGGATAAATCCGCCGCAGCGAGAAGGGACAGCCGTACTGCGCCAGGGGGCAGCGCTGCTCAATCCACGTCAGCCCGCCCTGGATCTCGCTGTGCACGTTGCGGTAGTGCCCGGCGTATTCGCTGCGCCGGAACGTCTGCCCGCACACGAACGTCAGCATGGACTTCGGCTTGGTCTGATATCTGAGAATGCCGAGGAAAATGTTTATTTCAGCCAGTAAAATAAGATTGCAATTTAATAAAAATAAATTCGATTTATACTGGAATACAGTTAAGTACTGCATTCAAAATTATACCTGAGACTGGCTGAGAATGCCGAGGGAAATGTTGGTTTACTCAGTAAAATAAAATCACAAATAAATAAAAATTAATTCGGTGTATACTGGAATACAATTATTACATTCAGAATTACATTCGAAAAGAATATGGCAAAAATACACGTATCATAATAAAATGAATCGCGAGGTTTAGTACTGTAAACCAAAAAAATAAAAGAATCGTAATTATGTGCATTTTTTTAGAAGATGAACGTTTATCACATTTGAATTCAGAGAAAATTAATACGAAAAAGAAACCTTCAAAAAAATTTACCGTCGTTTTTCAGTAAATTTGTGAGTCTGTGTAAACATTAATGAATACTGAGCAGTGACTGCAGAAAAAAATAAAGAAGAATAAATGTTTGTCATAAATTACAGAAATAAAACTGCAAAAATCATTTAATTGTAAAGAAAGGCAAAAAAATAATCCAAAAACGAAACCCAAGAAATCTGAAGAAAACGAAGAAAATTGATGTCTGATGCGAAGAGCCGTTGTACCGACCTGGTGATGGTCTCGACGGTGAGATTGAGACCCAGCGCCACCGGGTGATGCAGCGGCGGCGGGATGGGGACCGGCGAAACGGACGCCATCCCTTCCGGTTCACCGGGGATCGGCGCGGGGTCGACGGCGATGCCCAGGACGGACTCCATGGTGGTGGCCGGCGAACTGACCATATTCACACTGCCGCCCATCTCCGCCACATCGTCATCGGCATCCACGCTGTCCAGATCGCGCAGACTGTCTTCCTCGTCCTAATTAGAAATATGTACGCTTGTACAGAGGCGCTGATCAGCCGCACAATTCCACATAAACAGGAACATTTCAACCAATCATAATAAAGATATAGTACAAAAATAAATTACTACATAATACAAGAACAATAAATCAATAAATAACACATATTAAACAATTAATAATAACAGGCCGCCATCAACAATAGATTACAACTGATGAATTGAATGAAAGGAGAAAACGCCTTTAATGCGGTAATGCTAAAAAAGCATTACAGAAACCATACTACGACTGTAAACTAATTATTCAGTAACGTTAATCGATAGCATAATCGAAGCAGTAAGTCAACGTGAGCCAACGTTCTACGCTTGCTTCCGACATGCACCAAGACTCATTCTATTTCCGCTAGTAAATACTGGAAGTTTTATTTTTAAAAATAACTGGAAAGAATAAAAATATTCATTATCCATCAACAAAACACATTAATCGAATATTCCGGATCGTTTTCAGTCAGCCACCAGTTTAACAAATTATCAGAACAACTTACCGTATAAAGTTACTAAAGACTATTATTTATTAACGGGTTAAATCCATCCTAAAGCGAAAAAAATTTAACAAAAAGATTTAAGAGTAAATCAAGATTTTATTTTAATTCATAAGAAAATTCGTTTCTCGTGCCTACCAACAGTCTGCCAGATTTTTATGAAAAATTTGAGAAAACGATTAACTATTAAATCAACATTTTTCATTTTATTTGTACAAAAAATCTGTCTTTCATATGCCTACCAAATGCTGGCAAAATGAAGAAAAAGATGGAAGATTAAAACAAGATTTTAATTTAAGCTTTGAAAGAACATTTTTTCCTACTCCTCACCATCCCATTGTCCTGCTCCGTAATCATCTGCAACGCGGCCTTCAACGTCTCCGTCGTCTGGCGACTGGCCTGGTACAGCTTACTACACAAACTGCGACTCAGCCCCGGGGGATTCTTGCGTTTATTCCACGGCGCATCCGACCAGCTCCACTCCTCCTCCGACTCCACCGAGCCATCACGGCTCAACTCCATCCCCCCGCCCCCGCCCTCCCCGTTCTCCCGGCGCTCCCGTAGTATCACTTCCGGCACCGGTCGACTGCTGGGCAGCGGCACCGCCGGAAACCGCTCCGTTAAGTCATTCCGCAGGCGTTTGAAGTGCCGCGGCGCGGAGTACGCCACGTTGAGGCAGGTCTGGTCGCGCAGCGCCAACGCCATGTCCAGCTGCTCGGGATGGCCGTGGGGGTTCGGGAGGAAGAAGGGGAGAGGCGAGTGCTTGTCGGTGTAGTGCAGCGGCCAGCGGTTCCACTCCACGGAGCAGAAGATGATGCTGGCCGGGCATTCTTCCTGTGGGACAGTCAATTACTGCATCCCGCTCGATTTTTAAAAAAATTATATTTGTTATTACTGTTTTATTAACGATTGCTATAAATTACCATTATTATTTTGTTTATTTTTAGTTTCTTATTCATCTTACACTCTGAAGGGGACCGGTTAGTTAAAAAAATTGCATCACATGCAAATTTTATGTTTTTATACGTAATTATACGTTTGTCTGGGCCAATGTCGCACGATAATTATGTCAACAGCTGTGCCACTGCTCTACGACCACTCGTACTTGACAGCGAGCAATGAGCAATTGAGCATATTGAGCAATTATATCGTTATATCCCATCATTGGACATTGCCGCTCTACAATAGTGCAGTCTACTAGACTGTAAACTGCATTATTTTAGAGCAACAGTGATTCTACATGTTCAGTATTATGTATTCAATATTCCACCTAGATAAAAACAACTTTTCAGGATTTTCTTTTGGTTTTTCAATTCTTATTGGATTCCACACTGCTCGGTATGGAGCACAAGAAGTACGAGCGGTCGTAGAGTAACGGCACAACTTCTCAGCGAAAACGTATAATTACGAGTATTTACAAAAAACTTGCATAAAATGGTACATAAAAATTGCATGTAATGCAGTTTTTAACAAACCAAGAATAAATGAATTTTTTAACTACAACTGTCTACAAGTAAATGCATTTTTAAAAATACTGCACAGAGAGCGAGGCTACATAAATACGAAATCATAGATGCCACAAACTGCTTCCGCAGAAAAATAATTCATTAATTTTATTCTTAATTGATTTACTGACGCCTTTGTTGCATTCTTCATTTTTCGGGACATGCTGGTTTTGGGAATATATAATTATTAAACATTTAACACAACAGGATTTAACCTTTAATGTTTCATTTATTGTTCAACTATCTTCCGGTATTTCTTGTCTTCCTTCCTGCGCTTCTAATTTTTCAGAACAATTTTATTTTTTCAATGCCATTACCGATTATTACAGGCATTTAGCCGTATAATTTTGTAAATGCGAAAATGTTAATTTTTTTTTAACGAAAACCTACCAAGTGCTTTCCCAGGACTTTTCGTTTCATATTCATATCACATCCGTTTCCGGCATTGATGCACGGTACCTGCAAAAAAATTCATACCAAACATTACTCAAGAAAAAATGCTAAAGATCCTACAGAATTCACGATCAGTTATGCTTATTTATTAGACAACAGAGTATGCCAAAAAGCCGGAAGGAAAAGGTGCCATTGTGGCGTAGCTGATGTAAGCGCGGTGTTGGCACACGCAGCAGAAAAGTGTGCAACAACAAAGCGGTAGTGCTTTACATCAACAAAGTGTTGTTGGCCGGTGCATTACGCCAATAACCCACATTTTACGATATGCGCCGAGTGCTGACTCAGACAGGCACTGCCGTGCCGGCGCGGCAATATTTCCGATCCTGTGCAAATATTGACCCACATCCAAGCCTAACCAACACCCCGCCGGCCGCGCTCTATGGAATTATTTATTGTTGTGCGTTTGCCAAGTGTCAACAACAGCCGATAGCGCACAAATACCCACAGTTCCTTATGGCATCAAAATTCTACCATCAAAAATTTTCAAAATTCGCCTGCCTAACGAAGAATTACAGTCAATTTATCAGCACATCAATTACGAGGGAGCAGCTGTTGTTAATTTTCACTATATACAGTACATGCACACACAAAAATAAATGAAAATATCTAAAGAAAAATATACCAACACTGCTCAGAAGAGTATCAGAGTAATTTAATGGATGGCCAAGTTATGATCGAATTTCTTGAAAATCGCATGTAAACACGTAAAACGTAACGAAGGCAAATCTGAGCCAAAATCAGAGTCACAGCCTTTTTTTCCAATTTTAAAACGGACCGAAGAAAAAATATATACCAACAGTCCAACACTGGTCAAGAGAAAACCCGCATTTAGACACACTGAAAATTTAATATTCGAAATAAAAATTAATACGGTTAGACACCAAACAAAATACCCCAGAAAAAGGTTAGATAAAACGAGTAAATAAAACCATCATGTATTTCGCGATCTACGAACCGCGCCGAGCAAAGATGCCTATACTGACTCCATCTTGTGAGCCCATGTACTACAATTCTTCGTAAAATGCCTGACCAGACAAACGTTCACTCTTGGCGTTTAAAGACTGGCAAAACGACAACGCCAAGTAACAAAAGCGTTTCTTTCTAACAAAATTTCTAGTAGGCAAGCCCCCAAATAACGAATATTTATTAAAAGGTAAACTGTAAAAAGTTTACACTTAACAGGAAAGAATTTTAACTTCTTCACGACGCAGTAAATTAAAAAAAAAACGTACAGTCAGAAAGACCCACAGATTAACACATCAACGAATATTTCCATTAGTTCCATGTCATTCATAAAAAATTGTAGATAAAACAATCCAGTTAATCAAATAAAAACATCCCCATGTGCAGATGACGATACATATCCTTAAAAAACAGCGATTTTTAACGAGCAAAAATTAAGCCATCGTAACAAAATATGAATAAATGTAAATAGATCACGGTGAGACACAATTTCTGACGAAAAACGAACAAACAGCATCATAAAATTAATCCAATTAATATAAAAACTATTTCGATTTTTCTGTGTCAAAAAAATAAAAAATCAAATAATAATCAGTTAAATACATTTATTCTGTGCTTCAATCGAAAAACTGCAGAACAGCATCACCGCGCCATTATTACTGTAAAGCTCATTAAAATCTTATTATTACATAATTTTATTAAAATATTATATTCCTTATACAATTAATTATTGTATATTTTATAAGATATTACTTAAATAATGCTTATCAACTTTATATGATCCTTACCACGGCTTCCGCGCAGAGGTTCTCCACGTGCTCCTCCAGCTTACAGCGGTGCATGCGCAGATCACAGCGGGCACAGATCACCACGGGACACAGCCGCGCCGTCCCCGTCCCCCCATTCCGCGTCGTCATGGTCTGGCCGAAGGAGCACTGACTGCGGAAGCAGCCCGCGCAGTGCTCCACGTGCACATCACTGGCGTGCTTCTCGCTCTTCCGCACCCCACTCCCGTTCTCCATCCGTCCCTCCCCGTTGACCATATCATGCAGCCATGGTAGGTAATCCATGTTTCCAACCAAGGGATACAGATAACTGCAGAGCAGACGGCGTTACATCAACGGATGATCATGCACGTTCAAACATGAAGCTACACGTTTGACGCATCCATGGCAAAATGAGTTTTTGGCTGCCTCGTTTCCTCCGCTGATTAGTCGTATGCGTCGCACGGATTGAGGCGTGCAGAATTTAGCATGATGACTGTATGTTGAGATTTGTTACAACAAACAAACTGGTTGGTCAATATTCGAGCCCAGCTGCTGCGTCACGCAAACACGACGGCCAAAATGCACAACTGCAGACGAGCGACGCTGGTTACCAAAACGGAAAAATGATTACGCCGTGCGTGGTGGGGTAGCGAGCCCAAGCGGTGCTAACGATTCACGGGTACCGTAACTGTGGCGAGCGGAACTGCAGGTGCACCTTCTGCTCGGTACGCAACGCTTTTCGAGTTTTTTTTAAAAATAGGAAACCTTTCCACATTCCGATTAATATTCGTGCGATTTTTGATGGGATCCTGTGTTGTCCCTACGTAATTAAATATCCTAAGAGTACGGATTGTAAACTATGGAAGTACTCTCAGGATGCGCGAGGTGGTTTAGGAATACAGTGAGAAAAACGCCACCGTATCAGGCTATCACTCATGAGCGACTGCGAGTACGAACGCATGATCGAGACGTGTGATCGTAGAAAAGTGGCACGTTTGCATCTGTACGTATGATCCGCATCCAGTAGCAGCATACATCTAATTATGAAAATCTGAAATGCCAAAAGAATTTATTGTCTAATGCTTCTTTTTTTAATGTTTCAAACGTCAGGTGTACGAAAACTTATCAATGATTAATGTCAGCGCCGATGCATATCCCTTGCTATATGGGCGACTACAAACTGTACAAGTACTGCCTAATAAATCATAACAATATTTTTATTCTTTAAAAGGTACTGTACTTAATCGTACGTCAACAAAAACTTTCACAACGTGATTTTACTGCTAAGGTGTAATGTAGTACTTCTTCAAAATTGTTAATAAAAAAACAGATGTGGCTATCGGCCTAAGCTGCCAGCATCCAAACGCTGCAGTTAAAAAAGCCTTAAAATTAGTACTAACTAAAAGCGGCCTCTTCATTGGTAATTTTAATTATACCGTGCGGCCGGATACGGTGAAAACATACCGAAAATATAGTGCAAATAACAGCCTCCAATTTATGACGCAAAAGCACGCCATATTCAGCGGTGCGGCCTTTATCATGCACCGGCTTACACTCATCCAGATCCGCGTTGGATCTTCGTCTTCTATCGTTGGCTTCCTTGTAATTATTGTCGGTTAGTGGCACCGCTGCTACACTGTGTAGAAGTATCCAATTTGCGCTCAGGCAAACGGAACCGCGCATTGCATGCGTGGACGACGATATGATCTGTATTATAGGCTACAGCGTTCCTGAACCTCGACCCTTTCTGTGCAAAGATATACAATTAGCACAAAAGTCGTGCATAATTTATAGAAATATTGTTACCGTTCAATGTATATACCGTAACAAATTCATATAAGAGTATTCCGATGTATTCCGGTTTTTGTATTTGTGGCGTTTTAGCCGAATGACCTGTTCGAGCAAACCACAGGTACGTTGTTTAGGATTCTATGCCCAACTTCCGGACCGCCGGTTGGGGGATGACGCTTATTGTTAATTTAATTTTTGACATGCCTCCACGTTTTTCGCATTTCGTCGACTCTGCGCTGTTCCACATGACAAAAACATTCCAAAAATGGATTATGTGAAAATAAGGGTTTTTATGGAAGCTTGTACACGAGATTAAAAACATTAACGGTTTTATAATGTGGAACAACGCAGAGAATATCCTGCCTCCGAAGTCCGGTGCGCGAATCCGTATTGTGAAAGTATCCGAAATGCGGTAAACGTCGAAGTCTACGAACCCTTTACAATTTTATAATTTCTGAAGAACGATTCAGTGAAAAGTCCCGCCTCGCCATGTTGCATCCCTTCAACGCCACCCCCCTCCTTCTTAACACCTCCATCTCCACCACCGCTACCTGCTGGACATGGTCCACCTCGCCCACCTTCCGCCTGCAGAGCCTGACACAGATCCTCCCCAACTGGCTGATCCTCCTCGTCTCGCTCCTCAACCTGCGCGTCTTCGCCGTCTGGCGCCGCAGACCGCTGTTCCTTCTCCACCACATCATCCTGTCGGCCGGGGAGCTGTCCCGTGGGATCATCGGGACCATCGGTCCCCTCAACCGCTTGATCGATCCGACGCTGTCCATCACATGGCCTAACGCCATCACCCTGGCCGGCGGCGGGATGCTGATCCCCTGGGTCAACGGGACTATCCTCCTTATCAGTCTGGACCGGTACGTGTGTTATGCGACAGAAAATAACTAGGATTACCGAATTTTACCAATTAGCGCTGACCCAGTGCTGCTATTGTTTCGTAAGGCTTTTGGATAGGGTCGATAGATATTTCCGGGGAATAATTTTGCTTCAAAGGAAGCATGGCAAAAACCACATTTTAGTGAGGTCGCTTTTTTTTATTCTACAAGTGTTGCGTTTTTTTTAAAAAAAACGAAAAAGTCTCCTGAATGGCTGACAGAAAATAGTGAGCCCGGAACGCTGATCGGTAAAGTACGGTTTACAATGTTAGGACAAAATATAGATGGTTCGTTATAACGCAGATTACGGGCTTTTCTGGTCGCCCGGTGCCGGCGGTTTATGCGCATTGGAAGTGTTCCCGCTGCACATTGTTTCTAGATTTATTAGTACAGTACAACTGTACAAGTATAATATTTTGGACATGGATCGAACGGCCGATTGCCACATTTTTACCCCACACTGTATATGAGCAAAACATTGTAGGGTAAAAACTAAAAAAGCTGCTAATACAATGTAGGTAGATTTTATGAGCAATGAGCATTATTGTATAATTATCTGTACACATGTCGCGAGTAGTGCGCGTGCCATAGCTTGCAATTAGATACGCTTCAGGCTTTCAGCCTTCCGTACACTCTGTATATATTGTACATGGCGGTGCTTTGTTTTCTATTTGTTATCCTCTCATTGTTCCAAGTGCTGAGTGCTTCTGACCATTAGCGCTGCTAATGAACATCAGTTGTGCAACCTACTCGGGTAACCTTCGGCTAGTTTGCTTGTTTGTTGCCTTCCTATATAATGCTAGCGCATAATACGTTAGAGCAGAGAGGAGCCAATTATTTTTATTATTTATGATTATCACTCTACAGCAGCCAAACTCTGTTAACGGAGATATCTTACCAGGCTACTGGAAAAAGTTTTTTGGTTCACTTAGAAAATTGTTTGCTTTTTTTGGTTTGATTTTATGAGATGAAAGTACCCAACCTACTCTAGGAATCGAACCCAGTGTAACGTAGGTTCTTACTAACTGTAACTCAAAGCTGGCTAGATGGTATAAGTCTTTATTGATCTAAGACTGACTAAAACTATCAACGATTTTTAGTATTGAAAACATAGGACTTATATATGAGAACAGATGGACAAGACAACGTCCAGTTACACAACGTTATTGGCGTATAGTGAATAGAAGTTATGACATTCAAACGGATGCACTTCCGTGTTGCGTAATATGCCTTTGTTGGCCAGTGCGTTATACAGCAACGCACTGTGGCTCGAACGCCAACCGGCACTTATGCATTGTGTAACAACTCTGTTGGCCAGTGAGTTGTGTAACAACTCAATGTTACTGTTATGCCAACGACCAGTACATACGTTGTGCATGTACACATGATAAATCATGTTACACTCCCCTTCTAAAGAAAAAATAATTGAAAATTATTTATAAACTGGTCTTGTTTTTCTTTCACGTAAATTGTATCTTGGCTCATTGTTGTCCCTGTGTGGTGTTTTGGTGTTGCTTCCAATGTCTCTGTTCTCTGTTGTATGTTGTTCTTTTGGAGTCGTTTTAGCGAGTTGGATATTCTCCTCTTCATCTAACTTGTCGTACCACGGTTTCAGTTGGGAAACGTGGACAACGTCCTTCTTGCGTTTTCCGTTTATGTTCTCAATTTCGTAGTTAACGTTGTTCAACTGTCGGATTACGCGATACGGTCCGTGCCAATGTTTAAGCAGTTTGGTGGTAAGCCGAGTGTCGGCTGGGATAATTTTGCCATCTTTGTTAACAAGCCGAGGTACGTTCCAGCGGTACACAAGGTCATTTGGTTCGTACTGCGCAGCTACTCTCCTCTCGTTATACGGTACTTGATTTCTTTCGTTTCCATCAATACATCGTAGTTTGGCTAATTCCTGTGCATCTTTTATATATTCCGTAGTCTCTCTCACATAATGGTCAAGGTCGTGAAAGGCTTCCGGTTGGTTTAATGCTGTGTCGAGGGCAGATGTTGCTTGGCGTCCATGTAGGAGTTCGTATGGAGAGTATTTTGTAGTGGCGTTGACGGTTGTATTAATGCAGTGTGTTACGAAGGGCAAGTAGTTATCCCATTTGTTGTGGTCGTCGCAGTATTTCGACAGACATTCGGCAATAGTCTTGTTTGCTCGCTCTGTCATTCCATTACTTTGTGGATGATATGAAGTCGTAAACCGTTGTTTGCAGTTTAGAAGCTTCGTCAACTGTGACAAAAGATCATTGCAAAAATGTCTCCCTCGATCGGATACGATGTATTTTGGTACCCCATGACGTAGGATGATTTGCTCCATTATAAATTTAGCGGCGTTCTCTGCTGTGGCATTTCTTACGGCTTTTGTTTCTATCCACTTGGACAGGTGGTCGATTGCAACTATAACGTATTGGTTCCCTTTGAGGATGTTGTATACGGGCCTTGATAGTCTATTCCGATGGTGTGCCAAGGTCCTTCCACGGGAAACGGTTGCATCAAACCTGATGGTTTGCCTGGTGGAGGCTTTTAACATTACAGGAAATACATTGTTTAATATATGCAGATATGGAGTCCGTCATGCCGGGCCAGTAATATTTGTCGTGAAGTTGGTGATACATTTTCTCAGTTCCAAAATGTCCATTTGCGTCGTGTGCATTATGCAAAACTTCTCTCTGCATTGATCTTGGGATGACTAACAGGGTAACCATTTTATCGTTCCGGTATGCTATGCGATACAGTAAGTCAGCTATCAACGTGAATCGTGTACGCCGGTATTTATAGGCTTCGATGTGCGTCGGGCCTTTAAGGATACTGGAAATTCGCCTGCAGAAGTTGTCTGTCTGTTGCTCTTGTTTTAGGTTGGAAGTCGTTATGTGAAATAACGGGTTGGCAAATTTCAGATTTTTAGGCGTGTTGGAATTGTCGAAAGG